TGGACGAAGACTCGCACCAAGAAATTCTCGATTGGGTGCGACAACAAGCAGAAGCAAGGAAGAATCGAAGGGAACAACAATATAGGGAGGAGCAAGACGCACAAATCCTCACCACCTTCGACGAACCGGAAGATAGAGTAAGGGAAATGAGCGTCGATGACGACAACGCAATCCTAGATACTCCAGAAGCGTCCGAAGACGAACGAAGCGAGGAAGAAACGCCTGCAAGGCTGACAGCCACACAAGAACAAGCTGTACAGCGATATTTCCCCGCACCAACAGGAAAACATTTCGCAATTCCTATTCTAGCAGTGGACACCACCACGGCAATGGAAAACCAGACACTATGGTTTCCGGAAGGAGAGAAGGAAGACGATCCTAGACTCTCACCAAGACACGCGGAACATACACGTTTAGCATGGGCATCATGCGCGTTTGCAATGTGCCAGGCACACTTTCAAACCAAGGCACGATTGGATGCGTTTCCGATCAGGATGAAAGGATATCCGATCAAAGCACCATACTTCAGATGGGAACTCCTAGAATGGAGAGTGAAGATAATCAATAACGATCAAACGATGATCTTGGAACCCGATTCAAACACACCCATCAAATGCCGAGCTCATACAGATCCTACGGACGTATGTGAATCAGACACATGCCAGTTACATGTACATACGAAGAACAGGCAGTGGCATCAGTATGTGTATGAGGGAAAAATCCCAACACACAGAAGGGAGTTACTACTCAAGTCACCTCGATGTGAAACAAAAGACCACATGGTATGCCCACTACCTAATTGTTCAGAACATATGGTAGATAAGGCCAGGGAATGGCACAAGTGGCAATGTGGAACACCAGCAGCATACAAACGGACACAGCGAGCATTAGACATACTCGAACAGAAAGACCCCAGGGGAACCACAGAATCAACATACCACAGTGAACAACAGTTGGATAAGTGGTACAACGAACAGAAGTTCAACCCCAGATGCAACAGGAAATATGCGGTAAACTGCGACAACCCAAGATGCGAAAAACACGGAGAAATGAAAAACCAAATTTACAATCGCCTATGTCAAATGTTTGACGATGGGTTTTGCTTCAAGCACCCGCAAAACGGAACTGGACCTACAGAATGGTACCAAGAAATGAAACGACAAATCGCAGAAGAATCTATTCCGGAAAACTCAAAAAACGAGGCACGCCATCTGTAAAAGGGCTACAGGCTGGCATGAAAAGAAAGACGCTAATGACCCTCAACGCAACCCAGAACGGACGAAGCGACAAAATGGTATTAGACGCCGAAGTCATGGGACATCGCGTTCGCATACTTGTGGACAGTGGCGCGATGGGCAACTATATCTCACCCAGAGTTGTGAATCGTTACCAACTACCGTGGAAACACAAAGAGGCACCATACGAGTTAACTGATATCGAAGGAAAACTTTTTGCCTATAATGACGGAATCATTAACCAAGAGACTGATCATCTCGAAGTACAGATTCAAAGTCATTCAGAAGTGATTCAACTCGATGTTATGGACGTATCGGAACACGACCTAGTGTTAGGGTACCCATGGTTATGGGAGAGTAACCCACTGATCAACTGGAGGACAGGCCAACTGAAGTGGAACGAGACTTCAGGCCAACAGAATCAGCAGAATTCGGAAGAAAGAACGAAATTTCGTCATAACTTAGCTCATGAACAGAGTTCTGAAGAAAAAGAACCTTCAAGCAAGTTATCCAAGGACCAACGACAACAAACAAGCGGCAGAAAAGCAGTCAAAACAATTGGATCCACCGTAACGACCTCGACGGCGCTACAAACCGGGATACGAACAACAATAAGCAACAAGAAGACAAAAGCCAAGATCCGAAAGGTTATTGCCACCTTAAGGAAAGACCTCGCGAACACAAACAAGAAACTCGAAGGAGAAAAGAGGAACGAGAACGATAAAGACGACAAAAGCCCAATAACGAAAGAAGAAAGACTCAAGAATATCCCTAAGGAATACCGGAAATACGAAAAATTATTCGCAGAAGAATTAGAAACCGGATTACCAGAACACAGCCAATGGGATCATCAGATTGAATTGATAGACGGAAAGTCGACAACATTCCATAAGATTTACAACTTAAACGCAAGAGAACTCGAAACACTACGGGAGTACATCGACGAGATGTTAGCGAAAGGCTACATCAGAGCATCCACATCAGAAGCTGGATACCCAGTTATGTTTGTTCCAAAGAAAAACGGGAAACTGCGGTTAGTAGTGGACTATCGGCGATTGAACGCGATTACCATGAAGGATCGAACACCGTTGCCACTAATATCGGAACTACGGGACCGATTGCACGGAATGAATTGGTTCACCGCTTTGGACCTGAAGGGAGCATACAATTTGATTCGAATAAAGAAAGGCCATGAATGGAAGACAGCCTTTAGAACGAAGTTCGGACTATTCGAATACCTGGTAATGCCATTCGGGCTTACCAACGCACCAGCGACATTCCAACGAATGATCAACAGCGTACTACGAAAATATTTGGACAATTTTGTGGTAGTGTATCTGGACGATATACTGATCTTCTCAAAAACCCTGGAAGACCACAAAAGACATGTACACAAGGTACTACAAGCGCTACAAGACGCGAAGTTACTAGTGGAACCAGCAAAAAGCAAATTCCATACCCAGGAAGTAGACTTCCTAGGACACACGATACGACCAAACGAGATACGAATGGAAAAGACAAAGATTGAGGCAGTAAGGAACTGGCCAACACCGAAGAATGTCAAGGACATACAAAGCTTTAGAGGCTTTGCGAACTATTACAGGAGATTCATCAAGAGCTACGGCGAAATCGCAGCACCCTTGGATGAACTCACCAAGAAGGATAAGCAGTGGAATTGGAACGATGAGGCGCAATGTGCCTTTGACAAGATCAAAGAACTCATCACATCCGAACCTGTTTTGAGAACCTTCGACCCAGAAAAAGAAACGGAACTAGAAACCGACTCATCAGACTTTGCTCTAGGAGCACAAGTTGGACAAAGAGACGATGACGGAAAACTACACCCTATTGCGTTCTACTCGAAGAAACTTCATGGAGCAGAACTCAACTACCCCATCTACGACAAAGAATTCCTAGCAATCATCAATGCTTTCAAGGAATTTAGACACTATCTCATGGGAAGCAAACACAAAGTTAAGGTGTATACCGATCATAAGAACATCTCTCATTTTGCGACGACGCAACAATTGAATGGACGACAAATTCGATGGGCCGAATATCTTTCAGAATTCGACTACGAAATCATCCATCGAAAAGGATCCGAGAACGGACGAGCAGACGCTCTAAGTCGAAGAAGCGACTACGATACAGGAGTACCTACAGCAACAGGACCACTCCTTGAGATCAATAAAAATGGCAATTTCCAGCAGAAACAACTGAATGCCATATTGAAAGTACAGAAAGAAGACCCAGTATACGGCAAAATACACCAATGGGCAACAGACAATATACAACACATTGGGGACGTACCGACGGGATGCACATGCCACCCAGGAGGAGTACCAATGTATGGAGAGAAAATCTGGATACCACCAGAATTACAAGAAGAATGCATCAAAGAAATGCATGAACATCCAGTCTACGGACATCAAGGAATCCGCAAGACACTGGATAAGATACGACGACAATACGATTTCTCAGGAATCAAGAAAATGGTCGAAAAGGTTGTCAACGAATGCATACAATGCGGAAAAAGTAAGGCTTCACGACATAAGCCATACGGAGAACTGCAACCATTACCAGTACCAACACGACCATGGGAATCGATAGCTTTCGATCATATTACGAAGCTACCAATGTCAAAAGAACCAATGACCAACGTGGAATATGACAGCATATTCGTGGTCACGGATAGACTCACAAAATACGGATACTTTTTACCGTACAGAGAAGCAAGCAATGCAGAAGAACTTGCATATGTGTTCTTACGAACAATAGCAAGTAACCATGGACTGCCAGAAGAAATCATATCGGACAGAGGAAGTACATTTACTTCTAAGTTTTGGCAAGCACTTATGGCACAACTTGGAACGAATCACAAGTTAAGCACCGCATACCATCCACAGACAGATGGACAGACGGAAAGATTGAACCAGACGCTTGAACAGTATCTACGATGTTACATCAATCATCAACAGGACGATTGGGTTAAATGGTTACCTACAGCGCAATTGGCTTACAATAGCTCGATATCAGAATCGACAAAGCAAACACCAGCCTACGCCAATTACGGATTTAATCCCGAAGTATTTCGAACACAGCGCGAAGGACCGCAAGCAGAACGAGCGATGCTGCAAGCAGATGAACTGAAGAGATTGCACGAAGAAATGCGACACGAATTGGAATTCGTACGAAACAGAATGGCACAATACCATAATCGTAAAAGATCGAAGGGACCAATCTTTGGGGAGGGAGACATGGTCTACCTACTCCGACGAAACATCAAAACAACGCGACCAAGCGACAAATTGGACTACAAAAAATTAGGACCATTCGCTATCAAGAAAAGAATATCGACAAACAACTACGAACTTTCATTACCAAAGACTATGAGGAATCATCCTATAGTACACATTTCACTTCTTGAGAAAGCACCAAACAATGCACCAGCAGAAGAAGACATCGAAGTCATGAACGAAACGGAATATGAAGTAGAACGGATCTTAGACATGAGGACAAGAAACAAAACACGCCAATATCTCATTAAATGGAAAAGCTATGGAGACGAGGAAAACACATGGGAACCTACGGAGCACCTGAAGAATTGCCAGCACCTATTACGGCAGTATCACCAGCAGCATTCAACAAGGCATCCCCAAACACAGCGTTCCAATCCAACACGTCAATAGCGCCTAGAGATTGCGCATCGATAACAGCCTCGGATTCGCGACGCTCCTCCTCCTCCAACTCATCCAGCGATTGCAGACCCAAGCGAGTCATTTGTTGACCCTTGGTAACCAACTGCCGCTTTTGGCGGCGCAGTCGCGCTAGACGGGCCAGCGCTTCATTCAACTCAGCCTGAGCCTTGAGCATTTGCTCTTCCGCTCTCTCTTCCTCCTGATCCAAACGTTTCGATTCGGAAATAATGCGACCAACTACAAGGACACTCATTAGCAAAAAACAGTGACACACAAAAAGGACACCTACGCGAGCTAATCGCGACACCAGAAGCATCACAGGAACGCCCCCGCCGCACGCATTCCCCGCACTTGGAGGAACGCTCAATCATCTTGCAACGAAGACCACGGGCGGAACAAAAGGAACACGGCATGACGTCGTAACCAAACGATTCAATGGAATCAGCCAAGCGATCGTTCCGTAAGGTAGAAGGAGCCTTCAACGAGGGATCTTTTCGCTTTCGGGTACGAGGAACGACGGTACGACTGGACATGGCGTCAGAAGGACATCACAAAGGATGAAAAGAAAGAGGAACTTACCAACGAAAAGAAAAGGGCAGAGGAACTACTTATGAAACAAGGCCTAGGTCTTGAGGACAAGACCATGGGAGAGGGGACATCGTGTTACGACCCAGCACGTAGGCTGCAGGTTGGGCCGGCTGCATGGAGCCGCCGGGCGGCACAGGCATGACGGGCCACGGAACATTGGTCGGCACGACAGGACCAATGGGAAGGACGCTCAGTTATTATAAGTGAGCATGCACAACGCTCACCAGTGTTTGGAAGTGAGCATCGAGGATGCTCACCTCCGCGATAACTAGCAACCGTAGTATATAGGGACCCCCAAATTCGCTTCATAGATAGCCTCTAGCTCCTTAGCTTTCAACACAGATCATTACATTGAATAAGCCTCGCTTACAACTCTTTGACTCTGATCACTTGGTTACGGTCTACGACCTATTACCAACGTAACACCCAACTGCTCAGATTGACTGCCCTAGTGGCTCTGCCAACATAAACTACGACTAGTTTATCCCTTGGGAACCTTAGCCGTTACACGTTGAAAGCTCTTGTTCAGACTACTACCGCGTCACTCTGAGCAATACCTGATAACTGTCAACATGGCACCACGCGAGACTACCACCGCATCTGGATCCAATGAAACCCGAGAGGGACCAACCACCATCTCTGCTCACGACATGCTTGCTGAGATCATACGCCTTCGGGAACGGGTCCAACAGATGGAAGAAGAACGGCAGGAACAAGCCACGACTGCGGCCACAATTAAAAAGGACTTGGGAGAAATCCTTAGACCCAGGGCACCAGGACCGTACGACGGATCCCCGGGTGCGCTTCAAGGATTCCTCACTCAACTCAGGGCTTACCACCGACAATTCCCGACCAAAATGGAAGAATCCTCTGCCAAGGTACTGCACGCAGGAGGGTGTATGACGGGAGTGGCACTCGCATGGTTTGAACCCATTATGAGGGACTACCTTAACAAAGAAAAAGACGACCGCGAAGAAGAAACCAACACCATTTTCGAAAGTTACGATGAATTCGAAAAAGCTATCAAAAAGGCCTTTGGAACAGTTGACGAAGCTAGGGCTGCTGAGTACTACATCGACGGGCTCAAGCAGAAGGGATCGGCATCCGATTATGCCGCTCGCTTCAGACAACTTGCATCTCAGCTTGACTGGGAGGACGAACCTCTTATGTCAGCTTTCTATAAAGGACTTAAGGAAGAAGTCAAAGATGAACTCTACAGGGAGAACAGACCAGACAACTTATCGGACTACATCGCTATGGCGGTACGAATCGACGACAGACAGTATCAGCGACGCATACAGAAGAAACAGGGTAAAGGAACCTGGAGCCCTGCCAAAGGGAAGAGTTACCAAGCCAATCAACGCAGAAAGCGTGACGAACCTATTGCCTATGGTCACACTCTTAACCCTGGACGAATGGAGCTTGACGCTACCAAGAAAGACGACAAAAAGGAAAAGAAATGCTACAACTGCGGAAAACCAGGACATTTCGCCAATAAATGCAAGAAACCCAGGAAAGAATGGAAGCCAGTACCAGAAGGAGGTAAGAAACAACTCAATTCTACTAACCAACAGAAAATCGAAGTTACCGAATCAGAGGTGGAACATAAGAACCTCAACTGGACCTTCTGCTATGACGACAACTGCTACGTTCACATGAGCAGCAAACAAGAAAGAGGATGGTTTCCAAAAGAACCAAGAAAACCAAAGAAGAAAATTATGAACTTCATAGGAAACGGACTGCAAGTAGCCAAACAACTGGTACAAGAAGACCTGGACGAACAATCAATGGAAAAGAGAACGCTTGCAATGACGGGACGAAAGGAACTCCATGAACCAAAATCGCCAGAATATTTGGACGAAGACTCGCACCAAGAAATTCTCGATTGGGTGCGACAACAAGCAGAAGCAAGGAAGAATCGAAGGGAACAACAATATAGGGAGGAGCAAGACGCACAAATCCTCACCACCTTCGACGAACCGGAAGATAGAGTAAGGGAAATGAGCGTCGATGACGACAACGCAATCCTAGATACTCCAGAAGCGTCCGAAGACGAACGAAGCGAGGAAGAAACGCCTGCAAGGCTGACAGCCACACAAGAACAAGCTGTACAGCGATATTTCCCCGCACCAACAGGAAAACATTTCGCAATTCCTATTCTAGCAGTGGACACCACCACGGCAATGGAAAACCAGACACTATGGTTTCCGGAAGGAGAGAAGGAAGACGATCCTAGACTCTCACCAAGACACGCGGAACATACACGTTTAGCATGGGCATCATGCGCGTTTGCAATGTGCCAGGCACACTTTCAAACCAAGGCACGATTGGATGCGTTTCCGATCAGGATGAAAGGATATCCGATCAAAGCACCATACTTCAGATGGGAACTCCTAGAATGGAGAGTGAAGATAATCAATAACGATCAAACGATGATCTTGGAACCCGATTCAAACACACCCATCAAATGCCGAGCTCATACAGATCCTACGGACGTATGTGAATCAGACACATGCCAGTTACATGTACATACGAAGAACAGGCAGTGGCATCAGTATGTGTATGAGGGAAAAATCCCAACACACAGAAGGGAGTTACTACTCAAGTCACCTCGATGTGAAACAAAAGACCACATGGTATGCCCACTACCTAATTGTTCAGAACATATGGTAGATAAGGCCAGGGAATGGCACAAGTGGCAATGTGGAACACCAGCAGCATACAAACGGACACAGCGAGCATTAGACATACTCGAACAGAAAGACCCCAGGGGAACCACAGAATCAACATACCACAGTGAACAACAGTTGGATAAGTGGTACAACGAACAGAAGTTCAACCCCAGATGCAACAGGAAATATGCGGTAAACTGCGACAACCCAAGATGCGAAAAACACGGAGAAATGAAAAACCAAATTTACAATCGCCTATGTCAAATGTTTGACGATGGGTTTTGCTTCAAGCACCCGCAAAACGGAACTGGACCTACAGAATGGTACCAAGAAATGAAACGACAAATCGCAGAAGAATCTATTCCGGAAAACTCAAAAAACGAGGCACGCCATCTGTAAAAGGGCTACAGGCTGGCATGAAAAGAAAGACGCTAATGACCCTCAACGCAACCCAGAACGGACGAAGCGACAAAATGGTATTAGACGCCGAAGTCATGGGACATCGCGTTCGCATACTTGTGGACAGTGGCGCGATGGGCAACTATATCTCACCCAGAGTTGTGAATCGTTACCAACTACCGTGGAAACACAAAGAGGCACCATACGAGTTAACTGATATCGAAGGAAAACTTTTTGCCTATAATGACGGAATCATTAACCAAGAGACTGATCATCTCGAAGTACAGATTCAAAGTCATTCAGAAGTGATTCAACTCGATGTTATGGACGTATCGGAACACGACCTAGTGTTAGGGTACCCATGGTTATGGGAGAGTAACCCACTGATCAACTGGAGGACAGGCCAACTGAAGTGGAACGAGACTTCAGGCCAACAGAATTTAATAATCCTAATAATTTTATCTTATTAAATTATTTATATAATCTAATAAGCTATTATATAACCTAATATTCTTATTAGTTAATAACTATACTTATCCTTACTAGTATAGCCTAGCTTCCTACGTCTTGTGCAGTAACGTTTATAACACTTAATGCCTTTATAGGTTATTTATAATAGCCTTAATTTATTACTTTATAGCTAAAAAGCTGCCCTTTTATATTTATATAATATATATAATAAAAGCTTTATTTTTATTATTATTTATAGTTTATAACTGGCTAATTATTAGCTAAAAAGTTATAAAAAAAGCTATAATAATATATTAAATAATTAATTTATTAATATTAAAGTATTTAATAGCTTTAAATTAAGTAATTGTAATAAAATAAGTAAGCTATAATAACTTTATATTAATTATTAATCTTATTTTATAAGTAAATTAATAATAAAAAAATTAAAAAGTAAGTATTAGTTGTCCTGGACTTTTGTGGCTGTCCTAGAATTTTATGGCCAACTAAGTGGAAAAGGGTCCACTTAGTTGCCAATGGGTAGCATGGAGCTTCCTGATTGACTAGAAGACCTAGAAGACATGATATTAGGTGCAGATGGATACAAGAAACGGCTCCGGACCGGGGACAAGTTGCGCTAGCCGCAGCTTTTGCACCAATGCTTACCATGGCGATTGATGCAGGTGGCTGCATGTCCAATCTGCAAGGTGGCCAATCACGAAAATCCAGGTTGCCGAGTCGATGAAGGCCTCCCTCTCCAAAGCGATTGTCCTGTTTTCCCAGTACTCTACAGCCTCTCGTAATTGTATGGCACGCCCGAGCTTGGAGTTTTGAAATCCTGTATATACTTCGTATTGACTGGGCACAATGGCAATGTGGCTTCGGATGCTCAACTATCAGGCGGTATGAATGAATGTAAGTCGTCAAAGCGAGATGTGACGACGAGGTATCCTACTCCGCAGGATCGACGCCAAGAAAAACACTGCCTCAATAATCTCTCAGGATCAATCTTTTCTTCTGCCACGACACCCTTGTATAGTCGACACGTCCAATAGGTTCAAAGTCAACTTGGAGGGGAAAGGATGCCTCGCAGTCTCTGTCTAGCGGTCTGTCGGAACCGTGAGATAAGAATATGTCGTGCGGCTGGCTAATCACACCGTTTAAATGCAGCGATACTCATGCATCTCGTTGCCGCTTTTCCGGTTTCTGTCGCAGAAATCTTTCGAAAGTGATAAGTTAGCTTGGCTTTACAAGCCCATCGGGCAGGACCGCATGTACATACAAGGATGAAGGGTAACATATCCCAATATCCAAGGTGAATCAGCTCTAGCTAAATAGTGTAATATTGGTTCTGGCCGCCAGTGCCGACTAAAAGAGGCTGTGTATTTCGAATTTTGTCAAGAAAGAATCCAGCGTGTGTTTTACATGGATAGCAGAGATGAAGTGCGGAGCAAAATGGCCAGCATCAAATTACGGCATCGGTTCAAACCGGCTGATGAAATGGCAGGCACGACTGGCTGGCAACTCTCAACATAGCAAGAGCCCTCTAAAAAGCACTTGAACTGATGAAGCTGGTCCAATGGTCCTGGCTGTAAACTATCTTGATACCCATGAAGCACATAATGTCTCATACAGGCACAGTAATTTGAATATATGGTATGTAGTTGGCAGAGATATCCATAAACAGAATGATGCTTTCCTTGGCCGCGTCTACATGTTTCAAGACAACGTTTGCTTGTTCCACTGCTCACCCACAAATTACAACGTCATATACATAAGTTTACAACACCGTGTGGTCTACTTGGATTGTACAATGCATCGCAACTCTCCTCAACCCTTCGCAACGGCCAACAACGGCGCTCACTAAATCGAAAGCTTCTCAGCGAAGCTCAACACCTAATTCCCTAACTAAAGCCTCTCGCACACTTTCGTGAAAGCTGTTGGCTTCTTCGCTTGTCAGGGTACGCTCCAGGCTGCGGTATACAATGCGATAAGCCATACTCTTGCGACCAGTCTTGGGATGCACAAACTCATCAATAAGTCTAACATCCTCGACAACATCACCAGCTACATTGCGCACAATTTCCATGACATCGTTCTCGTGGAAGTTGCCCTTTGTGTTTCCTCCAGCGGGTGATGTTGACGCCAGCCAGAAGGATACATCCCTGGGGCAAGGAGGGTATTTGGAGAATGGCGCAAACCTCTTGAGCTTATCGAGGTTATCGGACACGCCGGTGAACTGGGAGAGGAATCGTTGATCCTGTGACCAAAACAGGCGGATATCAGGAATCTTGAACAGCAGCATGGCGATGCGATCGATGCCAATGCCAAAAGCCCATCCCAGTTGCGATGGCACGCCTGCATTGTTGTAGAGACTTTGTCTAACCACGCCACATCCCAATACCTCCAACCAGTCTCCTGCATAGTAAACTTCCAGTTCCCATGAGGGACTCGTGAATGGGAAATATGCTTCCACCCAGCGCATTCGCAACGGCTCGTCAACGAAGGTAGGATCCTCTCGCAGAGCTGCGGCTTTGGCCCTGGAGAAGACATCCACCACCATGTTTTCCAGCGATCTCTTCAGATGTTCGCCAATTGCTTGGGCTTCAGCGGCAGAGTGGCAATCTTGCAGAGGATTGCGTTCATCGTGGTAGGGAGGGTTGGGGTCTTCGACTTCGACATTGTGTTTGGGTAGCGTTTTCAAGTCGGCTCGCACAGCAGCAGCTATGTTGCCATTGGGGACCTTGTTTCGATCCCAGGATCTGGCTCCTTCCATCTGGTGAAAGACAGGGTAGTGGCTTCGATCGATGGCATCGCGTCGATATACATCCGCAGAAATTAAGTAACCCTCGCTCTCATCCGCTCGGAAAGTGTCGGCCTGGTGCGCGCTCGTGTGTGTTCGGAGGAGAGTCTTATCGTTTATGTAGTAGGTATCAGACAAGGCTCGCCCTGGATGGTTTGGCGAGAAGCCGAGAGAGTCGAAGTTTTGGTGTGTTGACACAACCGGGTTGTATTCGTTGTAGTAGTTGTATGTGGGCGAGGGGAAGTTCGACTCTATTATTTGTCGAGTTATATACACAGGGTGGTCTTTCTGGAGGTGTAGCTTCCGAGACGTGGCGTCTAATACATTGGACGGCACATTAAACCATGCGGGATCAGTCTTGTATGTGCCGCCCCGGATTGACACAGAACTGTTGGAGGCATTCGCTGGTTTCGAGGAGAGCAGGGTCCCTGTGTATAGAAATCAAGTATTAATACGACTTTAATTTACTCAATTTATACCACACTATATGACAAACCCGAGGAGGAATACTGCCGAATCGCACATGATGGTCGGATAGAGCAGTATCGAGAGGAGCGAACCTGCCGGTTGCACCTCAAGAGGCCGCGCATAGCCCCAATTCGTACCGACATGTTGGTGGTTTGGCTCGCTGTATAGTTCCAATCACATAATTCGGCACCTTGTCGATGCGTTGGGTGCCAATTTGTTCACGGACAGCTTAAGCAGCTTAAGCTGTGATGTTGTCGAAGCTGCCGGGTCGAACCTCAAAAGTTAGGCAGGACCCTGGATTTAAGCTGGCACAGGCTACCCTATAGCCAATGTTGCCTGGGTTGTTCAAACCCCCATCCAAAAAGGCACGACACCAGAATGTGATTTCATCATATATTCTGAATAATCTGTCGACTTTTGGTACGTGCAGGATCGGCCACGGGCATGCGGTTGTTGCGCATTGATGAAGGCTCTTCCGAGCTCATCTCGCGGACCGTTTCCGCTGCCCTGTGATACTGTGAGCGCCACTGGCGTCCAGATATCTTCAATAGCCATTTGGCTCTTCCACATCCAGACACAGCCGGGTCGAACAAGACAGAAAAGACATAAGCAGGATATACAGACGCCCTTTCAAACCCGACAAAGCTAAGACGCTAAGTCAGTCAACTGGCGAGCCAACATCAAACATTGAACGCTGCCCGTGCCTGGCCACCTGCTCTGTACTCTGTACTACGTCACCGCCTACCGTCGGGTCCATTTTTCTGCCACCACAGCCGACGTCAACGCCGAGACTCTAAGCCGAACTCTAAGCACCTCTGTACGGAGACATGTCTCTCACTCACATCACTTTTGTGTCTTGACCTCCGTTTTGCGCAATCCTTCATTTGGCAATTGGGAGTTGCAGCTAGCACTCGCGAATTGAATCGCGGAAAGAAGAGAAAAAAAGTGAAAACGAGGTCGCCTTGTCACAGCTGTGCGATGCATCTATAAGCTCCTGCTGCTAACCGCAAACCCTGCACATCATGGCCTCATCGGCTCAAGAGTCGGCACCGGCCCGCAAACTCACCAAGGAGGAGCGGGCTGAGCAGCGCAAAAAGAAGATAGGGCCTCCTATCCGATATCCTTTTTGGTTTGGAGGAAGCGCGAGTAGTATGGCTGCCTGCGTGACACATCCCCTGGACTTGAGTACGTTGAATTTTATTTATTTTTTTATTCTTTTTTTGGTAGCCGGTTTGTCCCATGACGTGTAGATTTGTCGCTAACTCGCCAATAGTCAAAGTATGAACTATTCCACAGAGCCATAAAAATTCCCCCGTCACAACATGGTCGTAATCCAAAGAGTAGGTAGTCTCTAACATGGCACACCCAGGTGCGGTTACAAATGCGCAAAGGCGACGCTCCCAAATCCATGAGCGGCACATTCGTCCACATTGTCAAGACGGACGGCCCCCTCGCCCTCTACAGCGGCATATCTGCCTCTCTCCTCCGCCAACTGACCTACTCAACCGTCCGATTCGGCGTCTACGAAGAGATCAAGTCGAGATACACCAAGTCCGGCCGCGAGCCCACATTCCCCGTTCTTACCGCCATAGCCATGACGTCCGGTTTCCTAGGCGGCATCGCCGGCAACTTCGCTGACGTGCTCAACGTGCGCATGCAGCACGATGCTGCGCTTCCCGTGAATGAGCGGAGGAACTACAAGCATGCCATTGACGGCATGGCTCGCATGGCCAGGGAAGAGGGCGCACTTAGTTGGTTTAGGGGCTGGCTTCCCAACAGCAGCCGCGCGGCGGTCATGACGGCCGGTCAATTAGCCACGTACGATACCTTCAAGAGGCTGCTTATTGACTACACTCCGCTAGGGGACACCCTAACAACGCACTTCTCCGCATCCTTCTTGGCTGGGTTGGCGGCTGCGACAGCCACGAGCCCAATTGATGTCATCAAGACAAGAGTCATGTCGTCGACGCAGAAGCAGGGCATTCTTCGAATAGTGGGAGATATCTACAAGACCGACGGTCTGAGATGGATGTTCAAAGGCTGGGTTCCCAGCTTCCTGCGACTAGGACCGTATGTTGTCCCCTGCTCTCGCGCCCGCGACATCGGCAAGATTAGCTAACGAACCCGTGTTAGACACACCATCTGTACATTCGTCTTCCTAGAGATGCACCGCAAGACATATAGAAAAGTCAAAGGACTAGATGAGAAAAATCTATAAACTGGAGACTACGCATGTACAAAGCAAAATCAACAACCAGCAGGCGTTACATTTAGAATGGGGGAGGCTACATCGGTTGCACTTTTTTTTTATTTCTGTTCCACCAACATTCTGGTCACAATCGGCTACTTGGAATCCCGCTCTCTATTTACTTGAAACGGGATACGGGCACGGACTCTAGATTGGCTGCTCGGCAATTTACTTATAGACATATAACACACAGAACGGCACATTATTCGCAACCCAGAGCAAACATCAAATAGTGATAGCACCTCACACAAGCTCATGGTCGACCGTCTTTACACGGCACAAGTGTTTCCCAATTGCCGCCATTTTCCGTTTGCGCTACGGAGTAAAATACTGTACAAAGCCTAAAACGACACCTCTACATAAATATTTGCCTAAATTTATCACGAAACCAATACTTTCAATAAATGGTCCGTTTGCCTGTAGCCTCCCAAACATCCCATGAAACGCCGTTTTGATTTACTGCCACGACGACTGGCCATATGGTGTGGTACCGTATGCGCCAGCACCGCCTCCATACGCAGTGTTATTGCCTCCCCCGTACGTGGTATTCCCACCTCCGTAAGCAGTTATATTGCCGCCATAGGGAGTAGTATATCCGCCGTCCTGCCAAGGCGTAGTGCCGCCGTCCATGTTCATATCTGGACTTCTGGGGCCATCAAACTCTGCTGGCTCTTCACCACCGTATTTCTTTGGATCGAGACCCTTTAAGAGCGCGCCGATCTTTTGTTGGAGAGCGCGGATGCCGCCTTGTACAATTTGATCCGGCTCCATGCTGCCTGATGTTTCTACTTCGAAATAGAATCGGTCGGGGACCGCATCGTAGTTGAATGGCTCGCCATCTTGAGGGGGGTCTTCCCACTCTGCGTATTTGCTCTTGGGCCTGGGGGTTACCGTTATTAGAATAATCACCAAATTCAAGCAATAGAGAAGAAGACATACCATTCCTTTTGAGGATCCGTGTTATTCTCATACCACAGATCCAAATGATGCAGCTTATTGTGAGGATCATATTCAAAGCCTACAGCCGACGTTGGCATCCACTTGGCGTGTTCCTTTGCTATCCCCTTCTTCGCGATACAAGTGAGCTTTAGCTCCTGGTCTTTGCGTAGCTTGGCGATCAAGCATCCCATCCCTTCGGGGTCGTTAATAACGGGCGTCCCGACCTGGCTGGCATGACGGCCGTCGACGATCAGATCCCGCGCGTACACCTTCATAATTTCATCGCTAGTACATCTTGCATGTAGGGTCAAGTTAACGCTGCATTGTTCGCAGTATTGCTCGCAGTCGCAATCTCGGGAATAGTTGAGTTCGTTTACTCCTTTGGCGTCGAGAGGAATGAGACCTAATCTGTGCGCGATGAATTCGTCGGCAAGCACTGATGTGTTGACTTCGACCTCGACAAGGTCGATAGCAATAGTGGGCACTTCGGCCTGAATGATTCGTCGTATCGAATTGGCAAATGAGAGGTTGGTTCTGGAGAGCGCAAAGTCAACGCGCGTGCTGTCGGCCTACAGAGAGGTTGAGAAAAAGGACAACCCATGTTAGAGACTTGAACCATAGCAAAGGACTACCGCACCGCTATAAACTCGGGGCGCCATACAGCTGATATGGTGACTTGGGGCTGCTCGGGCTCGCCATCCATCACCATAGGGTCGTAGTCCATGCCGTCCATCGTGGCCAAGTCGGCAGCGGCCGCCTGCCTGCGCGGGACACGGCTATTCACGAATCGCAAGGTATTCCGAGACTACAGAGGCGAAGCTTCGCTGGGTTCGTATGCGATGGCCGAAAGCTGCGTTGTCGAGGGCAAACAACCTGTGGTAGTGGCCGGCCCGTCAGTTCACAATAAACTGCGATTCTGCTTAGCGCTCGAGCAAATGCCACCGGATCAGCGATAATCCGGAGACCCTCTTATCGCCCTGCCGGCCAACTGCGATAAGCAAAAAAAATCCCCGCCGCCAATTCCTCAGCCAAGCTTCAACGACTGCCATTCTCTTTGTCTACACGAAATCTCTAATCAACCGTGACAATTGCAAGTCCAGGGAAGGGCCAAAGATCCAACCATGAAGATCAAAGCCCTTAACCGCTCCTTGGTGGATCATCAACCGCCCGGCTCCGACGCCGCCAAATTGCCTCGCAATCTCGATTCAGCGCTCCATCCATTCGAGCGAGCACGAGAATACCAACGAGCCCTCAATGCCGTCAAACTAGAGCGAATGCACGCGAAGCCCTTCATCGGCCAACTTGGACGAGGTCACGTCGACGGCGTCTACTCAATTGCCAAAGACCCCAACTCCCTACAGAGATTTGCCAGCGGCAGCGGTGACGGCGTCGTCAAAGTATGGGATCTTACCGATCGAGACAACTCTATCTGGCGCACGACGGCGCACGAAAATATCGTCAAGGGGATGGAATGGACGCGGGATCAGAAGCTGCTCACCTGCGCTGCGGACCGCACCATCAAGCTTTTTGACCCCTACAACACGCGAGCCGACTCAAAACCCATCTCATCGTGGCTCGGAGCCGGAGCATTCACGAGTCTCTCGCACCACCGCTCCCGCAACGCATTCGCAGCCGCATCAAGCGTCATATCCATCTACGACCTCGAGCGACATACGGCCGCGCCAGAGGTGCTTAAGTGGCCCACGTCCACCGACACCATCACCAACGTCTCCTTCAACTACGTCGAGACGTCCATCCTGGCGTCCTGCTCCAACGACCGCTCCCTCGTCATCTACGACCTCCGCACCTCCACGCCCGTCACCAAGACCATCCTCAGCTTCGCCAGCAACCAAATCGCCTGGTCGCCAATGGAGGCATTCAACTTTGCCACCGCCTCCGAAGACCACAACATCTACCTCTTCGACATGCGCAAGATGAACCGCGCCCTCAACATCCTCAAGGACCACGTCGCCGCCGTCATGGACGTGGAATTCTCCCCCACCGGCGAGGAGCTCGTCTCCGCCTCGTGGGATCGCACCGTACGCCTGTGGAACCGTGACCGCGGCCACTCGCGCGACATCTACCACACCAAGCGCATGCAGCGCGTCACGGCCGCCAAATGGACCCCCGACGCCAAGTACATCCTCTCCGGCTCAGACGACGGCAACATTCGCCTATGGCGCGCCAACGCCTCCCAGAGCGAGGGCATCAAATCCGCGCGGCAGCGCCAAGCCCTCGAGTACAACGACGCGCTGACCAGTCGCTTCGCCCACATGCCCGAGATTCGACGCATCAAGAGACACAGGCATATTCCCAACGTCGTCAAAAAGGCTGGCGAGATTAAGAGCCAGGAGCTCAAGAGCATCAAGAGGAAGGAGGAGAACGAACGCAGACATTCCAAGAAACAGTTTGAGAGGAGGAGGAGCGAAAGGGAGAAGATGGTGTTGGCAAAGGAGAAGTAGATCTTCTACCTCTGGTTATTCATTTCGGTTGTGGGAACTACAAGAACGTGGAAAAATCAGGAGTTTCTGTTGCGAGCATGGCATGGCGTTATTTCGGAATCAACCTTATGCACACTTGTCTTGATTAGATTCGGGTAGGTGTTATTGACTGGTAATTTCATACACCCTTGAGGTCGGATGACCTACCTAGGTATGTATGTAACATGATGATCACATGTTTTAAATATGCTGTTATGCCGTCGTGGAGCGTTTATTGCACGGAGTGAACATGCACACATGAAGATTGACACATTGCACACATGTTGCAAAGTGGTCAATTATAACCAGTTTCTCGAGCTTCTCAAGGGCTACATATGTCTACCTTGGACCAGTCTTTAACACACGCCCCAAGTCTTTCCCTGAAAATTCCGAGTAGCGTTGAACAAACCCAGATCATGCATCGTTTCAAACCGCCCATCAACGCCCAACACACATTTCGATGTTTGCCCATATTGCTGGCCCCGCCAAACACGGGCTGCTATTTGACATCAAATAACACCAGACAACTCTAAAGATAAACGAGAGGGATGCTCGGCCCCGCCAAAGACAATCGCTATTTGTCATCAAATAACACACAACTCTAAAAGATAAACGACAGGGATGCTCGTCGACACTAGACTCGTAAGTACCAGTGTAGGGTATTCATTCATTTCGCCAAAAACACCAAACTCGAAAGAAGTAGTCACAAAAATGCTCTGGAAACACTTTTGGTCGTTTGCTTTTGGAAATTGACGTCTAGATTCTCCGCATCTTTCATTTTGTTATTCCAACGCCTTAATTTGATTTGAAAAGTGGCCATCCATTCGCCTTCTGGCATTGGAGTCTTCAAAGTGTTGTACATTTTTACTGGGACTGCGGAACCCAATGTCGCTGAAAAGAGGACACAGAAAATAAATATAAAAAAGAAGAAGAAAGCAGCTGTGACTGCGGTCATTGAGGACTTTTGGTACACTTGGAAGACGTCAGTTGATGGCTAGACACTTCCGCGGGCAGCCTTCTGAGGCCTGTAATTGGGCATTTCATCGAACCAGCCATTCGCCTCATTGTATTTGTAGGCGTGGAAGGCGATGCCATATGGCTTGGGTTCAATAGAGTAGAGCATCCCCAGAGGGACATCCATGTCAGTGATGTCCTCTCGTGTCAGGTCCATGAAGTAGGCCATCAGCACTCGACAAACTGAACGATGCCCAATGATCAGCACATGATCAGTAATGCGCTCAATCTCTCTGACCATGTCGCGTAGGCGGCTAATAACCTGGAGGTAACCCTCGCCACCGACGCCCGGGTAGATGTAGTTGAGTTTATCCGCAGCGCGCTTGTGAAACTCTTCTGGATACTTTCGAGCAATTTCGTCATAGGTCATGCCTTCAAACTGCCCCGTGTTTAACTCATTAAGCATTTCCCAATTCTTGACGTCGTAGTCATCATCGGCATCAAAGTATTCAGCGGTTTCTACGCTGCGCTGAAGCATGGAAGTCCAGACACAAAAGTTCTTCTCGTCCAAGTCCTTGTGCATGTCCGGATAGGGAGGTGTGTTATCGCCCGGGTGAGGTGGGAACGTTGCCTGGGCAAGTTTGCTTTTTTGCTCCATAAGCCACTCCTTGCGTTTCTGCGTCATAAATTTGTACAGCGCCAGGCCGTAACAATGGCCTCGCTCAGTGAGGATAGAGTCGCCGCCGAGCTTGCCGAGCTCATTATCCACGCTTTGCCCGTGGCGAGTGATCCAAATCTGCCGAGGTGAGAGATTGAAGCTTGACAGGTATGTGCTGATGCCACCGCTTAGGAAACCTTTCAGGCGGTGCTGGATAAGCTTTCTACCAACATCTACCATCTAGCAGATGTGTCAGCAAGGTGATGTCGCACCTAACTAGGGGCCACAGTAGTTGCTTACCTGGATGTACTGTAAGTCGTTATCCTCCTCATACTCGCCCAGAGGTACGTATGCGCTAGCATACGCCGCAACTCTAGCCTTGAAATCTTCTAGCGATTTGATGGGGTCCTTGTTGCGATAGTCGGGACCAGACAGCTTCAATCGCATGTTTGCCTCGAGCAGATGAGGATCTCTGCATATACTTTCTATAAAAAGAATGCCAAGCTTGGGCTCACGCTCTCTGATGCGGTCGACAACTTGCTGCCGCCGCTTAATTGTGCTGTTTGTAGCGTCGAGAATGCCAACAGCGCCGCCCTGATTCAAAAGATAGTCGAGCAGCTCGTCCAGGGTTTCCATGGCCACCTGGTTTCTCATTGCTGCCGCCTTCTCGTTATTCGGATCAAAAAACCTGGCGGACTGGTCAACTTCCTCCTGAGGCTCGCCATTCGTCGAATTTAAATTCAAAGTAGTAGGCTCTGCTTGGTCGGGAGGAATATCGTTGTTGGTGGCTGGCACGCCGTTCAACAGAATAGTGGCAGCTTCAACTGGAGGGTCCAGGGCCCGGCGCGCCTGGCCAGAGTTGGCGCGGGCAGAAGTCTTGATTCCGGCCGCATTGCGTCTGCGGTTACCGACATTGAAGATTCGCGATTCATGTTGTTGCCACGAAAGATACCGTTGAAGCTTTTTGGTGATGTATGATTTTCCACGGGCAGGAAGGCCGACCATGACAATAACGAGCTTGGCTGCAACATCCCGTTGTGGAATTCTGCCATCGGGGGAGACACGGGACCTGGTCATACCAGGGATGTTGAGGGTTGTCGCATGAGGGCGCACTCTAGGGGTCTGGCTCCCCGAGTTCTGGCGCAAAGGTGGGCTGTGCAGTGGCAAAGAGCAGTCAGCAAGTGTCGTCATATCGCAAAGAAACCAGATTGAGCAATGCAAAGACTGAACAAGCTTGTATTCACAGCGAGCAACATGCGCAAGGCACAAGACGAGGTTGTTGCGCGCTGCGGCACTAAAAAGATGACAAGACTCACATGCGTGGTGAACTGGGAGCAGTGGAGTTGACGCTCTGCGACAACGGAGGTGTGTCGGTTAAGTCCTTCATCATCCTGACTGCGGAAGCCATGGTGGGTATAGCTACAGGCGCGGACATGGAGTAGCATTGCGTGGTGCCGTGCGACTGCAGCGGAGAATAAGAATAAGAGGCGACATCTGAGGAGTGCGAAGGAGGCTGAACAGCAAAGTGCTGCTCAGGCTCCGAGGACGTAGGTGAGGTTGAAGAGCGAGACGAGGCGACACCGAACTGGTTTTGCATGACAAGCTTGGCTAGTTCCGACTGTTTTGCTTGGCGGAGGCGCACGCTGACGTCTAAGTCGTACAGAGCAAAGAGAGGCAAGAGTTAGCAAGGGTCGTTGATCGATAAGAAAGCAGCAGCGACGCGCGCAGAGCAGTCAGTAGTCTGCAGTCTGCAGTCTGCAGTCGGCGTGGCCTACCAGACCCGGCCAGACAATAGACAATACTCGAGTACTGGGCTGCTTGGCTGCGTGGGTGGTAGCGGGTGGAGTGTCCGTCGAGTGGCAGAATGACAGAACAAGACAGGGTACTTAAGAAGTAGAAGTGAAGACGGATAGAGAAGAGTGCACAATGCAATAGAGGGCAAGGCCCATACAATAAATGGAAGACTTGTACGCAGAGATGGGTAAAGTATGTATCACACACCTTGTCTGGGAAGAGCTACAGCAGACGGCATTGCGAGATGTAAAAAAGGAAAAAGCAATGGGCTGCCAGAGAAGAAAGAAGAAGTCGGCGCAGGTAGGCGCGACTCGAGGTCGGTTGGTGTGGCTGCCTCAGCACTTCAGCACTCAGTGCTTTAGCAGCCGGAGGATGGATGGCGTGAGCTTGTGTGAGCTGGCGTGGGCTGGCGTGCGTGTGCCAGCTCCCAAACTCGCTCGCGAAGTGGTGAGGTAGCTTATCAGGTACCGGAGTACCTTTGGGCGGAGTAGTGCGTGGCGGCTGGGCAAAGGTAACCGGTACCTGGCCCTGGTCAACCAGATTGTTCTGCGAGACTCAACAACCTGGCGACTTGTTGCGCGAGGAGCTAAACGCCAAGACTCGAGGTCAGTCAGTCCAAGACAAACGCTGCAATGCGCCTCACCTTGTCCACCAGTTGGAAGCGATGGGTCGATTGCTCAGGTGCTTGGTCGCCGGGTGGCCCTGTCGCCTGCCCAATGAATGACGTTGACAGTCTGCAGGGTGCCCAGCAGCCAGCGAAACCGGCTCGTGGGGAAGATCAGAGGTCCAGCAGCCGGCGCAGCGAGATCAAGGGAGCACGCTCAAAGCATTCAATGTTCTGTGTTCCAGAATAAACCAAGTCAAGCCCAAGCAACAAGACTGGATGGACCCTGGCCCACTTGTGCCGTCAAGCTGGAAAACTTGCCCTAGCACGGAGCTACTCCGTGGAGGTGCCCCGAAGTCAAAATACAAAATACGTACTGTGCTTGTTGGCCTCTCCCAACGGCCCAATTGATGCAGTTCCTTTCCGCTCGTGGGTTGGTCTTGTGCGCTAAGGGCGGACAGTGTTTGTCTGACTCGCCCCTTCAACAAAGTCTGGTGCGATGACGGCTACTCAGCAGAGGAGTCACCCGTCTCAGATAACAACAATCCTAGCTGGATAGTATTTCCAAGTTAATCCTCATTCTTTCCCTAAAGCAATTCTCATTGTGTGCTCGCAAAGCAGAGGCTTACCAGCAAATAGACCTGTCCACTCCCGGGTGCGTTGTATCAGCACCGCCGAAGAGGTGCCGCGCAGTGGGCCTGAATCGATCAATGCCAAAGCTGATGGGAAGGGTTTCGGTATTGTGTTGTATGCTATAGCATGTCTGGGTTGTGGTTTGATCCACAGACACCAGCGAGGAGCGGGAAATCAAGCGATTTCGTCCAGGGTTGATGAGCAGGATAAAGAGGGCGGCCGAGGGACCCAAACAAATGAAGGAGAAATAAAAAAAAAAGGAACAAGAACGAGAGAAATATTGTATGCGCTCCTAGATTTGGTGATGACTGTTTAAGGACACAAATCGATACTGTCCGGCAAAGGTTGTCTTGGACGGGCTGATATCTTCAACAGAGTCAATGGCTCGGTCAAACCCCACCCAACCAACAGGTTCTGAGTCTGTCAACTTGTGGCGCTCTCTAGTTGTCTTGTCAAGCCTGGCCTGTCGGCAGATGGTCTTCTCGTTTGTGAGGAGACCTACAACTGCCTCGTTGCAACTGATCAGACGTAAATGTGCCTTTTGTACCTCTGTGAATTTGTGTTTGATGAAATATTGAGCAACGACGTAAAGCACTTGATTGATGGCGCATCTTGTCTTTTTATAACACTCTAGCCCACTGAACAGACCATCCACACCGAGATTCTCCATATGTAAGGCATCCAGCAAGTATCCCCGATTCAGAGCTGCTCACCTTCGGAGATGTAACACGCCAAATATGTCCTGCATCTTGCCTTGGCACTGTCGCGAAACAACTGTCAAATATCGAGGACATGGGTCACAAATTATGCCATGATTCTAAAGATACCTCAAACACTTCCTTGCTCAGGCCTACTTCAACCTGCACCGCCGTGAATACCGATTCAGTTCGCAAACATGCACAACATGTTTCAGAGCCTTAGTGCTCTCTCCAGTAACGTGGAAGGCCCGCGGCGCGTCGCTATCGTCCCGTGGTGCTGTCGGACTCGATCCGAGTAACCCGGGCTGTCGATTGCCCTCCAAGGTGGCGCCGTGGTGTGCCCAGAGAATCATCCCTCCAGCGGTGATCACCACGCAAGTGTCAGCTTAAAACAGCACTGAATATCCAGATACTAGTACCCAGGAAGGGTTCAGACCTGTTGACTACTGTGTGCGGCCCCTGTGTTTTCTTTGAGCGGATTTTGCATTGAAGCCACCAAACTCTGGTTCTGCTGACAGACGTAGCCTGGTTGACTGGAATAATACTGGTGCTTCACTTCTTGCTTCTCCAGTTTGACAGCGCGTATGGAGTAAGTAGACGTTGTTCACCTCGTTGCAGTGCTGTTCATCAGTTTGGGAGTAGAGGGGAGCTCTGACATGCTCCTTATTGGAAACCGGACTTCGGAGGCATTGAGCTCTCTGAGCTGTACACCACCTGTCTGTTTCGACTGTCATGCTACCTACCAAGTCGCCAAGGTAGTCGGAATCCTTTTTACAATCCGCTTGCCCCACGAAAACCTGGTCTTTCTCCAGGGCCTAGCTTGTCCAGCTGTGCCATCGCATCCTCCGGGAATCTTGTTGATTGAACGAATACGCGAGGCACAAAGCCAAGTCTAGCATTGTTGACCTTGTTCCTCAGCTTGCTTACATGCCTAAGCAGCAAATTTCCTAACAAGCCGCCGGCTTCCGATGTCGCCGCCCGCGGGAGGGTACAAGACTAGCATCGGACTCCACCGGTGAAGATCCATATCCCTCCGTGCCTGGCTGGGACGTGCCGCCGCCGAGTGGCCCCTAGGTCGATCAAAGATAGAGCTGTGCGTGTTACCCTCCAGCTTCACGTAATACAATAATCAAGGAAGCCGGAGCTTCTGGCCCCGGACTATCGCTCCGAGTCTGACGCAGCTATGGTTCGTTAGCGGTCGGTTGATTTGGAGCTTGCAACACAGATTCAACAAGTCTAGCTCTGTACCTCACTGACTCGTCCCAAATGACACCTGTCCATTTTTTACGGTGACGATATTGCCAGTATCCAAAATGCTGGGCAATGTTGGTCCAAGTGACAGTGCTTGCGTGCTTGGAGGCGTCGCTCGGTGTGAGACAAGTCGGATGTGTGTTGCCCCCCCCTAGATCCAGCTCCTCAGACCCCTTCGGCCAGAACCTCAACTGTCTTGCAATAGCTTATCTCCATCCTAGCATTCCTACAGAGGGAAAGAAGATGAGACAGGCAATCGTCTCAACAGAAGTACTAGTAGTAGAATGTACGTAGTACTGAGTAAGCTTGTCTGGCTCGGCGGTAATTAGTGTGAAACCACTCAAAAGGCCGTAGTAAGCTTAAATTACAGCCCCAGTGGTGTTGCAGTTCAGGCCAAGTTGTCAGTGCGTTAGCCGTTGCTTTTCTCTCATTGGGGAGTTTGGACGCTGGAAATAAAAGTCTCATTGAGTTAAGTGAGATTTGGCTCGGCGTCGACAGGGTTTTGCTTTTGATGTTGTTTAACAAATATTGATGTTGTTGACTGCTGGCTCCTTTTCGCCAAACACATGACTAGTTGACATTTGACAAGTTTGTCTGCAAACAGGCGTCCAGATGCAATGGGGGAAGGTGCCACCAGCCCTTCCATGCAAGGTTGTGTAGCACGCACTTTGACATGCTCCTGATAGCCTGATTATTGTCTTCAAGCTGCCAATATCCCTGCGTTATGAATACGGAGTACTCCGTAGAAAGGGGCCAAATAACCCAGGCAGTTTGGGGCTGCATGGCCGAGCTCGTCACCAGGACAGGGCAGAGCAGCCTTGTCCTGGAGATGTAGATATCTAACTGGTCCCAGGCCTGCCTGTCATTGCTGAGCTTCTATTCTTGCAACCAACGCGGAGAAACAATGAACCATTAGAAGCCTATCAATGACTCCCAGGCCACTTTTCGGCATTTCTTTTTCATTTTTGATACGAATGCCCGTTTGACAGCACACCGTCGTGCACAGCTGCAACAGCCTGGGTGGAGCGGGCATGGACAGCTCGGGTTCCGAACCAAGCAAACAAGGATGAGTGAGATGGAGGCGAAACTCTGTCTGCAGCAGTGGGAAAATAATACTGAACTCTTGTTTGGTGAGGCGGATAGCCTGAAATACGCAGTGATGTTCTGCCTCTGTCCGTCATTGGCATAGCGGACCAGTGAGCAGACGGAGATGAGTTGCAGTCTGGCGTTTTACAATACGTCTTGCGGTTGATCTTATCGCCAGGGACGGGGGTTGGCGGACACGTACCGTTACTTCATTGTGCCGTTGAAACATGTCACCATCCCAAGTTGGTGGATCTCGGCCATTTATGACATATCGACAGATAGTAGATCAAACCGCTGATGCACGAGCCTAGACTGTAGACGAGATGACGACGACACCCTCATGGTCAAGGTCTCGAACTTGATAATGCCATGGTCTCGCTTCTTCATGACCACACGTTGATATTTGGGGACTCTCGACTTGATGCTTCGCCGCCACAGACGTCGCTTTGACCCTTTCAGGCGTTGCCATTTAGAAGATGTGGCTTGACAATCACAGCCACAGGCACCAGCCACATCTAAACCTTCCAACGTCACAAACGAGCAAATCGGCTTGTTTGACAAAGGAATCTACAATGGTCAAAGAACATCGGCAACCGCATCTATTTGGTCCCAAAAGCGACGAGGTTTGGCTTTAGATGACGCAACTTCTGACAGCCAGATATTTGTAACCCAAGGCACTGAGCTTCTCGCGACATCGACCCCGAGCAACTATACCAACAGTGAATAGTTTCAGGTTGCCAGCTCTGCCAGCTGTCGCCAGATGTCATCTCAACACTAACGTTTCCAAACATGATCTGGCAATCCTAACCCAAATACTGCTCAATCTTGTTTCCAAAACTTCACTCTTGCGCCGTCAAGATACAGCAGAACCAAAGATACCCGTGGCGTTCACTTGTGATCTTCATTATCAACCGGATTAGGACACAACGTGATGATAAGATATTGTCTATCGTCGTGTTGACTTACGACCTGGTCCTACATGCCGTCAGAGACAAGTGCGAGGAAGCGCATATCACGCTCCTGGTTCGGGTATTGCTGACACCCTCTTTTCGCAAGGGTTGGTTCTGGACGTCGCTACTCGTTACTGCCTGCGTGGTGCAGAGTCGCTGCTCAAGTGGCCGAGGTCTAGAGTCAAAAGGGCGCCTTCTTGCCTCGTATTCTAGACTCTCGAGAAAGAACCGCCCTTGCATCGCCTCGCCTTGCCTTGCAATCCTCTTACTCCCCCAGGAGAGCTCCTAGCCACCAACAACAACCCTCGTCGCTCCAACACTCTGTCGACATTTACTTGGGACATTGTCTCTCCGGAGCCATCGTCTGCCGAACTGTGGAACCAGGGTTGTCTTCGATACCTGATATTTGTTTTGCTCGATTCGGTCAGATAAACCCGTTACTTTTCTTCTTTTTGGAATTGGCCAGTATAAGTCCATCGGCAACCTTTTTCCCTGGCAGCTTTGCGAACAGTGGCACATACAACAATGCTGTCTCTGAAGCAAAACACAATGGCGGATGAAACCAGTGGCAATTCTTGCCCTGTCTCCGGGGACATATCTGGGGACGATTCGCAGAGCCAACCGCTCCCAACACCAGGCCTCAAACCAAACCCCATCGTGGACGATTTGAAGAAAAACCATTTGAATAAGGGTGTCTTGATCCCACTTAAGACAACCCAAGAAGTCCGCCAAGACCATACTACCGTTTATGCATACATTACTCGGGCGCCAACAAAGTCTGCTAACGACGTCATAACGTAAGAACCTCTCTCCTATTTAACAATATGGTGTACAAGCACCACCTTTAGCGGAACAAATGAGACGGACAATCTTTCCTGACTGCTTCACAGAGCCTTGCGAACATTACGACCAGAGGGTGGTGCTAATCCCCTACCCCATCTTCGCACCTGTGCAAAGCCGACAGACTTGCCTGCGCACCTCAAGACACAATTCATGAATGATGATCCAGTAGGCCGCCAGATTCATACCAGCAAGTCTACGTGGATCTACATTATTGCAGGCGAGGCCAGGGAGATCAGCAAATCAGACCTCATCAAGACTTTATCGACAGTGGACGCGTTAGAAAACGACCCCTTCATCGCCACCATCACCATTCCTCTGCTGGCACCTACATCCCAAGTGCAAGCAGCGCTGTGGTCGTCTCAGTATTGGCCAACGGTTTACCGCAAGAACAACCCCCTCGGTCCTCATCCTAGCATGGTGGGTCGTGGAACAGATGAGATTAAGGAGGATGCATCCTTGTGGATGGCCCTGGCCCATCAAGTCGCCTTGCAAGCAAAAGAGGCAGGAATCGGAGAGGCCATGGGAGCTGTGATTGTTCAGAGAGGAGAAAACGGAACCGAGTTGGTTGGTCTTGCTGGCGATGCCCGTAAACATCAAGAATGCAACGGGGCAATTCTCAACAACACCGTGACACACTGCGTGCTTCGGGCAATCAGTATGGTTGCCCAAAAGCTCGTAAGGCACGAGCACCGGGAGGCTGGCATAACTGCTGAAGCGGCAAATTTATATTACGACTGTTTTCAAGACCAGCCCTTGATTGAGCTGGAACGCCGTTGTTTTGAGCAAGAGCATCCAAACAAGGATGGATACCTTTGCCATGGATTGGAGCTGTATGTCACCCACGAGCCATGCGTTGCTTGTTCTATGGGTATACTTCATTCCCGCATGGGCAAAGCTGTCTTTTGCCATCAGATGGGTCGCACTGGTGGATTGAGTTCGGATGATCGTCCGGATGGAGGTGGACGAGGGTTGGGATTATTCTGGAGACGGGAGCTCAATTGGAGTTTGCTGGCTTGGGCATGGGAACGTGAAAACGTACCCGACCTCCCGCCCATCGACCCAACCACTCATGTTTAGGATTACCACCTCCTAGGTCTACCTAGAACTCTGCCATTTTGGTGCTTATTTTCTTTTTGTACGCAATCACATACAAGGCATGCTCAAGGAACGACATATCAGACGGCGGGTGACCTAGAGCAGTCTTGTCGTTACGGGCTAGGAGGTTGTGACTGGACGAAGTTCGCTTTGAAACGGACTACTTGTATGGCTCTATCTCATACTGACGAAGTAGCACACTTGCATTTACAGCTTGGTGGAACATTGATAACGATTCTAGATACGGCGCAAAGAGTGAGAGGGGTTAGGCTATCTTTCCAGGGTCCACGGTTCACTGGCAAGAAGTTATGGCTGTTGTGGATTAATTATATCTTTGATTGCAATTGGGGAATACACGCTGGCATGACGAGGCGAATGGCTACGTTTTGTGTAATTACTGTAGATATGCATATACATAAAAGCTCGGCTGTGAAGTAGAAACCAGGAGCTATAGGCGACATATTGTTATTGAGCCCATGACTTGGTAACATTGAATGCAGGGCAATGCTTGATTATGCAATAGCAACACTGGAGCTTTTTGGTAACATTGAATGGCTGGCCCAAGACAGAAGTCTTGGCATGGGCGAAAGGGGCCATGGCCACTCTTCACTCATCATGGTGTTTTTGCTTCGGCCAAAGGGCACTAGGTCAAAGCTAGGGCGCCATGTCTGCGAACCACATCGATTGCAAGATCACAGCTTCATCGTAGTCGTCAAGTTGTGTGTGCCGGGGCACCAGACTACACGTTTGGCTTCTGCTTGGGTGCCCCTCTCAACGGTACTCATCACGAGGGTTGGGGTGTGGCGCCGTGCCTGGCCCGACCCAAGCAACCCCCCCCCCCCCCCTCTCTCTTCAAATGGTCTTACTTCTTTGTATCTGACGACGACCCTCCTTCCCCCCCCTGGCAGTGCGAAGGCAAACGTCTGCTCCCAACCCATTCTCAAGTGCGTTATTGATTTTACGTTGTTGAAAATTTTGCCTGCACGTGGAGCCTCACATTGTTGCATTTGCATTAATGTGTAGGAGAATGCCATCGCTCTGACTACCTGCGGTTAGAACTCAGCCTTGCGCGACACCCGCCAACTGCGCCAAGCTGGCTTCCAAGGCATTGCTGCTGCTTCTCTCCTCCGGCTACGGCTCTCGCTTCACCCAAACGGTCGGAAGAAACCATTACTTCTCGAAAGAAGCAAGAATACGAGTATACGTGCCTACGAGACTGCTCTCCACAACGGCGACCCGATCCGTTTTTGGCTTCCTCAACCGTATCATAAAGACGGCCTTGCCAGACAGCGAAATGAACAAGAGAGCTGCCCCGGGGGTGAATGCAACAGCTAGCCCCCCCAAGAAAAGAAAGACGGATAATGTGCAAAAGTTCTATGCGGTCCAAGCTGGATTTCGCCCTGGGGTGTATATGACATATGCCGAGTGCTCAGCCCAAACGGCTGGTTTCAGGGGTGCTGTTTGTGAGTCAACTCTGTGGTTCTTGTCGCAAGCCTTGAGATGCCAAATGGAGCATGGTTGAGCTAATTGGTTGTTGCTGTAGTCAAATCCTTCACCTCGCGGTCCGATGCAGAGGCATTTGCGGAGGGGAAGAAGGTCGCGGCATCTTCTGATGAGCCAGAGAGGTTTTACGCCGTGGCTGTAGGCAATCCGACGGGCATTTACACAGATTGGAATGAAGCGGCGCTGGCTATCAAGGGCGTCAAGGGCCCCAAGTACAAGCGGTTTGGAACACGAATGGAGGCGGTCGTCTATATTAAACAACATGGCAGTAGGGAAGCCATTGAAGCTCTAGGGGAAACATATGCAGCGGCGCCAGTTGAACTACCGGTATCTCCAACACCGGTAGTAGCTTCCACAAAGAAGACGGCGTCTAAGACGGCCGCAAAGAAAGCTGAACCGGGGGTGCAGCGTCCAGCCGAGGACGTTTTGCAAATTTATACAGACGGCAGTAGCCTTGCAAACGGGAAAGCTGGTTCCAGAGCAGGCGTGGGTGTCTATTTCGGAGACGGGGATCCCCGAAATGTTTCTGAAAGACTGGTTGGCGACCCGCAGACTAACCAGCGTGCCGAGTTGATGGCCATGCTTCGGGCATTAGAGATTGCACCCCTCGAGCAGACGGTGCAGATCATCAGCGACAGCCAGTATTCAATCAACTGCGTGACGCAATGGGCTATTGGATGGAAACACAAAGGGTGGAAGACGGCAACTGGCGAGAATGTCAAGAACCAGGATATCATTCGGGCTGTCCTGGACAAGATGGACGAGAGGACCAAGACCGGCGCTAATACCTACTTTCATTGGGTTAAGGGACATGCGTCGGATAGAGGAAATGTGGCTGCTGACAGGTTAGCTGTACGAGGGGCAAAAATGGCTTGTTGAGGAGGGTGTCGTGAGCTGGAGTTGAGTCGGGGGGTGGGTATTGGAACTGTGTCAGGCTCGAAGCTCTTGGGAAAACACAAGAGCCTGTGTCTGTGTCGGATTTTTGTGATACTAGCAGGGTGATGGAAGGGTAGGGTTGCATCTCATGGAAGCGGCTAAGGAGCATATGCATGTGTTACGGAGTGTTTTAATTTTTTTTCTGTTCGAGACTTGGGATATTTTGAGGACCGGGAAAAAGAAGGGAATTCTTGGATTTTGTCAATTTGTTTGTGATACAAGTCCACATTAATGGCTGGCGGCGTCTTGACGATCATACAACAATGATGGAGGACTGTTGTTATGATACCTGTATTTGTCTTTACACCACGGCCAATCATCGCCGTGACGTATTGTTATCGCAAGGGACTTGAAGAATGCGTTTCAACCGATGAATGTTGTGGCGGGTGTTGCTATCTGAGTATTCGAGGGCGTCGCGCTGAAAGCCATTCCTTGTTGCTTGCGGCCGCTGCCATCGATCAGCCTTACCACGGAATTTCGGCACACTCTATCTGTGGCTCCTGGCTTGGATGCGGGGAATGATATTATCGTATAGCTACGTTTTCATGTTGACAGCTTGTTCGAGCCTTTTATTTTTGGGAGATAGATCCGTGGGGGCCAGTGAGGGATCGTGATGCTTCGATGCCGGCGCAGGTCTTGTCTTGCTGGAGGCAACGTCATGCGCATGAGGTTTTGTGGAATTGCATTGGAGCTGCGAGGTCTATCATGCAAGCCTGCTCCTCAAATAGCGCCCGATATGCCCAAGCTCGAGCAAGTTGTTCTGGTACGGTGGGATTCGTCGATTCTGTCGTGTTTGTCTCCTTGTCCCCTGCCTCATGTTGGTGGTCAACAACCCACAGGAGGCTTGGATGCTTTTCCGTAGCATAGAGAGATTGATGACTTGCGAGTCATTATCTGGATAGTCTTCTTCCAATCAGATCACTGTCCACGATACCTCGCAGGTGTCCTCTTGGTTGTCGTCCATTCACCTCCAGGGACCATCCCTTGGAGGTTGTGGTACACCACCGAGTACACACCACGTACTTTGACTCTTGCAGCCATCAAACTCTGTCACATATAGCATGAGAACATTCCTTTGTCTTTGAATTTTTATTCGCTTCACTTTTACCGAGCAAATCGCTGATAGCACCTAAAGTCTCATTCACTCGACACCCGATCCAACCTTACACGTCTGCACGACTAAGATCAAATAAACTTGGAAAATCTCAACTGGACAGCATTATGCGCACAAAGCGCACAGATCTCGGAAAAAGAGGTTATTCCCAGTTTGCGTCTGTTTCACAGTGCCGGATTATCCATATCAGGACAAACGTGCAGGTTGCACCCGCGGCCTGTTATCTCCCTTTGGGGACGGATGAACCAATGGGATGTGTACGGCATCCCAATTGGTTATCAGGCGGCAACCCATACAGTACATTCAGGGAGGGTAGCAAGGCATGGGCCAATCTTCTTCTTCTTTTTGTCGTCACATTGGCGGGTAGGCTCGCAGTAGACGGGTGGTACCAAGGAGGGGGAGGAATATTTGTGTCGCCTGACAAGTCAACTTCACCTTGCAACACTTGTATTTTTGCATTCATCTCCCGAGGTGTTGTATGTATATGCATAGTGATGAGTCGAGATGGTGGATTTGAGAAGGAATTGGGTTAGGAGTAAGCCAACTTCTGCTGAAGTCGATCACAAGGATTATGGAATTCATGGCGGTTACGCCCGGTGGCGTCTGCAATAATCGTAAAGAGTTGACTAGACTCACAGGCGAATGAGGCATCGGCTGAGGATTTACAAGAGAGACGGTTTTTTGTTCTCGGCGGTTGCAATGTCCTTGGGTTGCCTTGATAGGCTTGACAGTTGTTTGGCAACATGCCCACGATGATGTGCGGACCGGTTTGGCCCCCGGGCACCCAGCATAATGACAACCAATAAAGTTGAAATGCCGCTTTGTACAGGCCATCAATTGGGCTGGATTTGATGTTGTGGCTTCATATTGTAAGCAAGGCGGCGTGCGGCGGGTCGAGAAGGAGAAGGGACGATGCAGTTGCCTCTGAACACGTCATTCTGCGCTTCGGGGAGAGATTGGCATCGAGAGTTGGGCAACCTGGCGGCGCGTCGTGACGAGGATAAAATTGTATTAATACGGCGTCTGACCTCAATCAACATGGACTGAAAGAACTGGGCTGGACCAGAAGAACATTGAAGTTCGGGAGCCAAGGTTGGCCTGGCAGTTTCCTGGCTGTGCAGTCGTGACTTCCCAAGTGGTTCACGCATGTGGAGGCAGCACCGGCAAATCCCAGATGCCATACCAAAAAGGCGATATCTGTGCAAATAGCTTTGCGGCGGCGCGGATGAGAGCGGAACCAAACCACTTTCTAGGTCGTTGCCGACGTCTCGATTCAGAACCCGCATGCACATAACACTACATCCATCCATCTTGTCGCGGACTCTACGGATTCGAACCGTTTTGCTCTACTCTGCCCCAGTCCAACATTGCCTATTACCCGTTCGGGATCTTCCTACATCAACAACGGGCCACAGCTTCCATCCACGGATTCCCTCCAGGGCACACAGAAAAAACTCGCTCTACGTGTGTCTCTTCGCACGTCTTTATTTACCGCTTCTATTATCTCACCCGGTCCCAGAATGCTGTCTACCCTTCTCCTCCTTGCTACAGCCGCCGTCGCCACTGCCTGCTTTGAAGCTTGCTAACGCCAGCTTTTGCCGCAATGGCTAATTACACTTTACAGGAGAACAAGGGCATTTGGGCCGTACCTTTGGAAATCACCGACTTCAACATCTTGGTTGCTCTGTTGGGTGGATTCATTTCGGTTTTTGGGCTGGTATCATATCTCTTCAAGGAAACATTTTGCCTATCTGAAGCTCGTGAGTACCTTTTCGTTTGCCACCTTGAGCCTTTTACCCCTCTACTCTTACCTGAGCGACGTTTAATAGTTCTCGGGCTATGATTTGCTTTTTTTTTTTGGTTTCCTGAACTGGTGGTGCATAAGCATGTGAGACAATGATGCAGGAACCGTATTCGGGACAGACGTGCAAGGGACAGGGAGGCTTGTGTAACAACCCCTTTCTTTTCTTCGTCGTGTTCCCACGCTGGATATCACCTTCATTCACCTTCATTCCGGGAAGCAGTTGAGACGTTTAGCATACTTATCGCTTGAGTCTACGCTGGATTCTGACATTACTGGTACAGTCATATCGCTCTTGGTTGGTGTGGCCTTTGGGCCATATGCGGCCGATTGGATTCGGCCTTGGTCCTATGCCGCTTGTCACCGAGATGGTCTCACGGACGCGCAATGCCAGGACCGGCTGAATGCCATCACGCTCAACTTTTCCAGACTGGTGCTTGGTGTGCAGCTGGTTCTCGCTGGAGTCCAGTTGCCAAGCAAATACCTCTGGAAAGAGCTGAAACCCATCTTGCTACTCGTCGGCCCCGGTATGGCATGTATGTGGATGGCTACGAGTCTTCTTGTTTGGGGACTGGTTGGCACACCTAGCTTTTTGCATGCCCTGGCTGTTGGGGCATGCGTCACTCCTACCGACCCCGTCCTGTCTGCCGTCATTGTCAAGGGGAAGTTTGCCGACCATAACATCCCCAAAGAGTTGCAGGACCTCATCGTTGCCGAGTCTGGAACGAACGACGGCCTGGGCTACCCGTTCTTGTTCTTCGCCCTCTACCTTATCAAATACATAGGATCGGGGGCAACAGAAGGCGGTGCCAAGGATGCCATGGGCCTTTGGTTTGCCATCACGTGGGGGTACACCATTATTCTCAGCATCATCTATGGCGCTGTCGTGGGTTGGATAGGCAAAGAATTGCTTTACTTTGCTAAAAAACGCAACTATGTTGACCATGAGAGTTTCCTCGTCTTCGCTGTCGCCTTGGCTCTATTTGTTCTGGGTACTTGTGGGTTGATTGGCACAGATGATGTGTTGGCGTGCTTTATCGCTGGGAATGCCTTCACCTGGGACGATTGGTTCCGCCTACAAACAAAGGATGACTCGTTACAGCCGACGATTGATATGCTTCTTAACGTCACCATCTTCCTATGGTACGGCGCCTATCTTCCGTGGAATGATTTCGCCCACAACTCCATTATTCCATTGAGTCGGTTGATCCCCCTTGGACTTCTGGTACTACTTATACGGCGTCTACCGTGGATATTTGGCATGCACAAAGCTATCCATCAAATTAGCCAGGTACGACAGGCTATCTTTGTGGGCTTTTTTGGCCCAATTGGTGTGTCGGCCGTGTTCTATCTCTACATCGGCATAGAATTCATCCAGCAGCATTTGAGTGATGAAAACAGCGTTCCCAGATCGGATGTCAAGGATCTTGCTGAGACAATTACAGTTGTGGTTTGGTTCCTCGTCGTGTGTAGTATTGTAAGTTGTGTCGCGCTGGTACATATATTTTTAGTAGCATTGCTGCAGTGCCTTCGTGTCCATATTCGTTTTTGGTTGACGTCGCTAACGTCGTCACTCTTCGCAGGTTGTTCATGGGTTGAGCATTCCCCTCGGCAAGCTAGGGTATCTCGCGCCCAGACTCCATCGTGTGCTGAGTGAAAGTCTTAGCGAAACTATTAGCACTGATCGGTTCAGCGTCCAAGCTCGCAGACGTATTCCCTTCTTTGGCAGGTTCGTGAGAGAGCCTGAGGATGTTGAGGCAAACCTCGCGGCGCAAGTGCGCCAGGGCACCGCGCCGATTCGTCGGACCGGACAGGGAGTTGTACCTTCCAAGATAAAACAGCCAGAACAAGATTCCCGAGGAGCACCGGCTGCAGGCCAAAGCAGCCATGAAGATGCTGAGAGCTCCGGAACTCGAATAGATGTTGAGGCTGAGGCCAGAGTCTCGGGGGAGTGGACTCCGGCGAAGGGGAGGAACCAATCTTCTGACGAGCCTGAAGCCCGAAAGTCAGAAGCCAGCACTCCTGGTCGAAGTGCAAGAAGGGAAATCCAGTTCTCCGACGAAGTGCCACAGAGCCCACCAGCTCCGGCTAAGTAGAGTGGATTTGGGTGAGTTATTAACGGTCTGCCGATGATGGTGGCGATCGTGGGGGGCAAGCCACACATGTTGTCCGTTCCGGACCATTATCACCGTCTTTCGGGATCGGGATAGCTTCATATGTGGTGGCAAAGGTGTGTGGAAAGGAGAGAGGGAAGGGTGATGGTGTATTCATGGCATGAATTTGGTGAAGACTCCGATTCGGAGAGGGCATGGCGTACAGGTGGCGAGGTATCCAGATAAAGCAAATTTTTATTCACGTAAATATTAGATGTCGTAAAAGGCAGATCATAGTGGCTTCAAACGTTGCCATGTGCGCATCGGTCCGACGAGGTGGCACATGCAGTCTTTAACCAGGATGCTCCAACACTCACAAACTCGCGGGACAATGGATCACAAGCCACGGAGAAGCCACAGCACATCTGGCGCAGAACGCCCGCAAACAACGGCACGTTGACGGGCTTGGTTTCGAGGCGTGCCTGCTAAGCGGCGGACAGGCAGATGGCTTATCTGTCTGATTGGGCGAGAGTTTTCGTTGCACACCCTCCCAGGTGAAGAGTGGACAAGTAGGGCTGATTGTCAGGACTCGGGACTGAGAAATATCACGCATTGGAAGGTGGAAATGTACATATGCATCAATTGAGAAAGATGACGAGAGGAAGCGGGTCACAGTGCACGCCATGCCTTCTGGGCTGCGTAACGGGATGATGGGAATTCGCGAAATCAAGTGCTTGGGCGGTTGGTTTATTGACCTGTGGACTTGGGCCATGCATGAACGGGGTCCAATTGGTGAAAATGTGACATGGACCTTGGGAAGATACATATGTACCTAGACAAGTGGTTTTGGTTTGACGATTTCGTGCGGTCGTTGCGGTGACGGAATTACGAGCGCATGGCCTTGGACAGGTCGATGTCGTGATGTGCGAGAGGAGACCGCCGGAATTAGCTGCAGTTATTCTAGGTGTGAAGATGTCGGATGCTGGCGATCAATTGAAGATCCGGCGAGGCATCCATTCACCAAATCGCATCGCTGCTTAAGTTCTCCAGTGAGACAGGCCAATCCGTGCGCTGCAGTTGGCCGTCCTTCATGTTGATGATAAGGGCTCAGAGACAGTCTCACGCCGCCATTTGGCCAGCATATTTCGGCGTATTGCGAAAACGGACGGCGCATGATCGAGCCGTGAAGCCACGAAGCACAAATCAACCAGTTTACTGCATGTACATGGTCTGTGGGTGCTGTGAACCAGACCCCATGGTCGGGACGGCAAATATGGCTGTCGCCGAGTTCTCCATTCGAACCGGGCGTGATGACGAGACAAGTCCGCAAGAGATGTTATATACGTGGAACCTGCTCTGCTCGCTTTGCGTTGGCACTGCCGGGTGGCCCGGCGCTGGAAAAGCTGGGGGAAAGAGGCGATGCTGACGACCGTCTGTTATGTTGGGGAGGAAGATGCATGGGGAAAGCATTGAACGGCACCGGGGACAGATAATCAACAAAAACTGGCGGTCGGAGTTTTGGACCAAATCAATGCTATGTAGTGCCGCGGGCCCTGCCGTGGGACATTGTCAGGCAGTCCGATGTCTGGTGCGTCAGTGACGCCAGCTGCTGTCTCTGACAGCTGGGGGGCTCAATGTTCCGTCTGGAGGGCTGAGTAGTACTCCGTACCGGACTTGAATATTGATTGTTTAAATGTTGACAGTTGTCTACATGTGATGAGTTGACTTCTGGCGCCGGGGCTTGACGCCTATCTACTTATAAGCTTGGCGGTGGGTGCCTGCAGGTGCCAGGCAATTGAGTCTTCAGTCTTTGGCTGCCATTGTTGATCTGTTAGGGAGAGACTTTGGGGGAACTGTGAGGGCTTAGCGGTGCCTGTAGAATCATGACCACCGGACGGGCTTTTATTGGCCCCCAGGGCAGAAGGGGAGCCGGGGAGAGGGGAAGGGTTCATCCGCACGTCGTGCTGGAGGACTGTCAGCGGTGAGCACTGTATCTGTCGTGTGCAATTGTACATACCTAATGTATGTATGTCGCTGTATACCGTACACGTAGGGCGTGAATGAGTCAATGTTCGGAGTACTGTCCGTCGCCGATAAGTCGGTGTCTGTCCGTCAGCGTCCTTCACGAGCGACCAAAGTACTACTAGTATCCCCTTACCCTCGGATCCACATGTTGCGAAGCCCGCACGCCACGCCAAATTGACCCGTCCAGGTCGCGAGTGCCCAGGCCAGGTTGCTAAATGAAGTACGCGGTACCCTAGGTATCCAGGTACCGAGTACACTGGGTGCACATGGCTTGGCCACATGCGCAGAAGAAAAAATGGGTTGACGAAGCCATCAAAAGTGAAAAAAAGCGGGAGCCTGAAGAGGAGTGAGGAGGAACAGGGCGGGCCCTCTAACCCTTTCCCACTTGGCCGCGGGCAACAGGCCTATTCATTCATCAGTCAAGGTCTGCATTGTACTTGTAGAGTATGTATATGTAATTCAAGGGACCAGACGCTAGCTTAGCCAGCCCATGGGTACACCGCAGGCCTTGGTTCCTGTCAGGCCCACGTCCAGACGATTGATGTCTGGTCCATGTTGCCCACCGCCTGACACCAAACAACGTTGAGGGCAGCGCCTCCAGCCAGCCAGGACTGGCCCAGTTGTCGACTGGTTGACATTCATCACCCTCCACTTGCTGTCGCCATTCAGGTCCAGCCATACTATCGTCCGCTCCCTCAACTCGCAACTCTCTTCTGTCTCGTCTGGTCGGCCTCGCAGATTCTCTCCTCTGCCGAGCCTCTATCCCTCCGACCTTGCTTTCCGTCATTTCTCTTTCGTCCCGCTTGTTGCTCGCCCAGACACCCCCTTTTCGCTCCGACACCGAACACAATCCACGACTCAGCCCGCGATCCCGAGAGAACGTTGAGTGCGTGGCGTTGATTGACAGGTTTTCCTGCCCTCTTGCTCCATTGATTCAGTCGCTCGCCAATCTGTCGCCAACCATCGACGGCGGAGCCTGTTCAGCCGATATTCATCGTCATAGCCGTACATTATTTTTCGTCCGGGCCGTGACACCGCTATTGTCTGGCCTATTTTTTTTTTTCTAACCTCGACATTATTACTCTTTAATCTCCTCTCTGATGTCGAGTTAGCGCAACGAGCTAGGCCCAGAGAGACTTACCTCGACCACTGCCATTCTCACCACGCCTATTCTTCGCCTAAGCAGCTGGAGTACACCGCGGTTGGGCCCTACTGATTCTTCAGCCCCTCCCTTTCTCAAATCTTGCCTCAACTCCACAAACTCGGCCGCGATCTAGACGTCCTGCCTACCAAGGCGACTGGGCTTGAGCCGATCGATTTCCCACCGCGCGAGGCGGATCGCGCACGGCCTGGCCTGCTGGTCATGACATCCGCAGGAGGCAGCGTCGCTGGAGGCCCTTTAATAGCGGGAGCAGGAATGTCCAGCGGCGAATTTCACGAATTCTCCGACGATGAATTTGCGGCTTCCAACCTCTTTGACTTCTCAAACAGCCCCGATACACTACAGAGCCTGGACGCCATTGGCTCCACCGATCAGAAATCCTTTTTAAACCCTCAGGAACTGACGACCGCTGGACCCTTTCCTGATTCCCCCAACGACTCTTATCACGACTCGTCTTCCGAGTCGGCTTCGTCCTCAAAGAGGACTGGCAGCTCCGACTCGACCAAGACGCCTATTACCACCGGCGATAGCACTATGGATGACGGCGCTGATATCAAGATGGAGTGGGGTGCAGCCAATTATTCTTCCTATGACGACGATGAGAATGCATTCACATTCGGCCGCGAGGCTGATTCTTCCGCCATGGAGGGGCTGTACGGGTTTGGCGAGCAGGACGACAGCTTCATGGACCGCTCTTTTGATTTTGAGAGCGCTTCAAGTAGCCCCGAGGCACAAAATGCTGGCCAAACCGCCATGGCGTCCCCAGCCATGCCCACCATCAAGACGAATAACAGCTCCGCAAAGGTTGCACGCAAACCCAATAGCAAGCCCAAGACAGTTACTCATAAGAAGCAAAGCTCAGTAAGTCAATCGCTGTTGGGCCCTTCTATGTACTGTAACGCTCCAAGTATTTATTGGAATCTAACCCTGAACAGCAATATTCAACATTGTCAACCGGCGTCAAGACTTCAGGTTCGAGGGAGGTCTCTCCCATGTCGGCCATGGTGACGAGCCACAATTCATCTCCAGCGGCTAATTTTCTCAACTCGCCTTCTCCTCTTGGCAACCACATCAATGGAAACACCATCTGGCCTAACAGAGTAGATGTCACGCCGGCCACAGCACCGGATGCGTTGCCCACTCCCGTGCAGTTTAGCAACCAGATGCCTCAGCCGATGCTTATGCCTCAACATATCCCACTTTACAACAGCACTCCTGTTTATAACTTTACTGGCGGCTACGAGTTAAGAATCTTGCCCACACCTCTGAAATCGCGTGTCGAGACGCAAATTCCTATCAAAATGACATTGTCGCCTTTGCCACCCGGTGTAACCAAGTTGCATTTGCCTACCCACACCATATCTAAGCCTAAGCTACTCGCTCGGCCGTGCGCTGAACGATCTCCCGACACCCTAGAATTACACGTCAACTTGGTGTGCACAAGTGCGATGGAGCAAGGGGATTTCAAGAAGAAGGCGTTGGAGAGAGCCGCAGTAGTACCACAGGGATACTTGCCAGAGCTTGATGATGAAAAGAACTCGCCACAAAACGGAGGGGATGTTCGGATTTGCGCTGGGTGTATCTCGCGAGAGCGGAAACGAGCAGCGCGAAAGAAGATCAAGAAGCCAGAGGAGGAGAAGATTTGGGGTCAAGACGAGGAGCGACGTGTCATTGTCTTCAATACCCAGGAAGTCAAGGAATGGCAGCCCCTGAGCGGTGTCTTGGACGCCCGCGGACGCCCTGATCCAGTAGTCACTCGTGCTATGCAAATCGATGCTCCCATGAGAATTGCCTGCTACTGCAGGCATCATAGCGAGAAGATGGGCTTCAACGTCATCTTCACCATCAAGGACTTTCGAGATCGCCTTATTGCACAGGCCATGTCCAACCCAATCATGATTACAGACGACCACAAGACTCATCCTATGGCTCAGGCCTCGAACCCTCAAGTATCAGAGACGGTCACCTCGACCACAATCCCCATCCATATGCCCCAGCCTATGGAGAGCAATCACATTGCGCCGGCGCCCGGCGTTCAAAACGGATCATTTCAGGTCTCTTCGCCTAATGCAGACGGTAATTCCCAGCAAGGTGGACAGTCGCCCTACTCAGGTTCTGTCGTCTCCGGGAAGACGACTCCCACCATGAGTACCCCAGCAGTAACTGGACGAACTCTTTCTCGACCTTCTTCGCCTAACCAAGGCGGCCCGGCCAAGAAGAGAAAGTCAAGCAGCTCGAGGGTACCTAACGGCTTGACGATGACAAGGCTGGATACTTCACCGCCGCCAGGCTCTCAAATAACTTCAGCACAGATCTCTACGGCGACATCTCCTTTCTCTCCCAATCCAAGTCCATTCCAACAACCAGAGCAGATATTTGGGCCTATGAATGGCCCAGCTCCATTTGCGAATGAGCCCCCTACTCCGGGTAGCAATGACCAGCTACCGTTCTTCTCTAACCGTTCCGCGAGCATGGACAACCTGGCAATAGCTCAGATGTATTCTGCGCCAGCATCAAGCCACCCAAGTCGTGCCCCTAGCCCTAATGGTCTGAGAAACAGTGTTGCCGGCGGCATGCAAAATCAGTTCACGCAAAGCCTGGCAGCCAACCTGTATCCCCTGCCTCTCGGCGTCAACCAAGCACGAGCGCCTCCAACTATTCACAAAATCATCCCAAATGAGGGACCCAAAATTGGAGGCATCGAGGTTACTGTCTTGGGTGCTGCATTCTTCCAGGGCCTGGAGGTCTTCTTTGGTGATCAGAAGGCTACTACTACAACATACTGGGGCGACTCTTCTCTCGTCTGCTTGCTGCCCCCGTCACCCGTTGCCGGGGCTGTTGCGGTGACTTTCAAGCATCAAGGCATCCCTGGGGCTCTAAATTTCGCCATGGGAAAGCAACCGCCTACGTTCAAGTACATTGACGACAACGAGGACAAGCTCATTAGGACAGCTCTGTCTGTGCTGGGACACAAAATGTCTGGCCAAATGGTGGACGTCAGTGATTTGGCGCGCCGAATTCTCAATGACGGCAACTCAACTTGGGCCAGTGGGGGTGGCTCATCATCATCAGCTGGTGGTCCAATGTTCAACCACGCTGCCACCTCTCGTGAACATCTCGAGTCGCAGCTTCTCAAGTGCTTGGATCTCATTGACCTTGATGACAGCACCCACAAGACACGCCTCGATCTGAAGAGATCCACGGGCCACACTATGCTACATTTGGCCTGTTCGCTAGGCTATCATCGGTTTGTCGCTGCTCTTCTTGCCCGCGGCGCCAACCCCGATGCCCGCGACAAGGGAGGATTCACGCCGTTGCACATGGCTGCCATCCACAATCACCCCGAGATTGTGAGACGCCTGATGCTTGTTGGCGCAGACCCGACGATTCGAAGCTTATCCAGCCTCACGCCTGCTGATGTAGCCCAGTCACGAGCCGTTCTGCGTGCAATCCGCCACTCTGAGCGACACGTACGATCTAGAAGCGGTGGCTCTCTCCACAGCCGAACCAGCAGTGCTACCTCGCTACGTTCCTTGTGGGAGCCAATGACTAGAGCACACACTCATGATGAGCCTATCTCGATAGATTCAAGCGAGGAGAGCCCTGAATACACATCTGGGGACTTTGAGGATGAGGACCCCGACGAGGATGTTTACCTCACGATGAGACGCGCCAGCTCTATGAGGCAAGACGAGGAATCTTCCGAGCATATCGAAGAACCAGCTCGGCCCGACAGTGGAATGGCTTCTCCCACAACGGCACTTGCGGCTGCCTTGAAGGATCAGGTACAGCAACAGCTCCAACAGTTCCAACAGTCTATGACACTGCATCTGCAGAACCTCGCCCACTTCCCTCAGATGCCCGCCCTACCAGGAATGGCGATGCTCCCTGACTATCAGGCATATTTCCAGCGTGTGCAGCAGCTCATGCCAGGCATGTCTGGTGCCCGCCCTGGATCGGCTGGATCGACCGGCGAGAACCAAGGCAAGATGGACGGCCGTTGGTGGGATATCAGCTCTTACATGAACAACGCGAGCGCAGTGCCACCTCCTGCGTATGAAGATATCTTCCCACAACAAGATGTGGACAGGAAGCAGGAATCTGCTATCCGAGCCGCTGCGGAAGCTGAGGCTGATATGAAGTGTGCAACCTTGTACGATCAGACCACATCGACCACGACGACAAGCACGACTCGTGCCAAGGCCGAAGCTCCGGAGATTCTCAAGATTGGACGCAAAAACGCCATCACCAAGGAGCAACAGGAGCAATTCCTGCGGGCACGTGAGATCAAGCTGAAGAGCCTCCGCAGCGACCGAAACCTCTTCTTCGTTTGGGTAAGCATCACTGGAGACGAGCCAAAATGTGACACAGGCTTTGCTAACAATGTAATAGATTCCTCTTCTCCTGGTAGTAGTGTGCGCTATGCTTTACAGCTATTTCCCCTCACTGTTCCCTTTCCTTTGGACCTCAGTCCGAGCCCTGGTACAGGCTGGCCATAATCGAGCATCTCGGCTGGTGAGCACAGCACCCGAACGCGTTGTAGAAATATGACACGTTTGGTGATGGTGGTTGTCCTTTGCTAAAGAAGAAGCTTTCATGCAGGGTGTGTTGAGCGTTGAGAGTTTGAGCCGACATGGTGCTTTTTGCGGGCTGGCGTTTTCCCTACCATTTTTGCCTTGACAAATGCTGTAACCCTTTATGGAACCCGCATCGACGTTCGTTTTGATTTGACATTCTTTGCATGGAGTCGGGAAGCAGCGTTTCTTGAGGGAACAGGACTGTGCTGGCAATATAAACCTACGGATGTATGTTTTGAGAACGTTTGTAAACTGGGGGATGTTGGAGGGCGATGAATTGCTTCGCAGGAGCCATGCATGGGATGGGACAGCGAGTAGGATAAGATCCGCCTTGTTGCTGCGGATGTTTGTTTTTCTATACATTTTTCTTTTTTCCCCTTCTTCTTCTCATACGGGGGGTTCTGCTCCGAGTATCATTCGCTGATGTTGGCGACGGACAAATACAGGTTGTTAGGAAATGGGTATAGTATAAGGCCTTGACGTTTTTCGTTTGCCGGTAGATAGATGGTTGTCGGTTGGTTTTGCTGGGCGTGGTACTCTTTAGGTAGAAAATGGTACCGTATATAGCGAGCGCATCGCCGAGTGCCTGTCATTGTGACGCGTCCTACTCCTTGAAGCTGGTCTGGCTTCAACACAAGGTGATGATGGGCGGCTGGATACACGTCAAGCCAGATTGACTGACACCACACGAACATGCTTCCGTCGGCCAATGGCCCCATTGCGGCCATGCAACAATTACGTGTCGCACACAATAAAACGCCGCAGCTGGCGCGGTATCGGAATGGCGTATCCCAGGTGGGAGGGAATATGGGTAGCACAATGGCCAACGGTCAAATGACACGGTGAAGGAACCCCTTTATCCCTTATGGCTTGCCTGATGCTGGCCAAAGAGAAAATTGCCTCAAGCAGCAGCAGCAGTCAGTATCCGGAAGTTCGGCATACCGCGTAGGCCAGCATCTTGTGGGTGAAAGAGCCGTTGTCTGTCGGTTACCTGGGTAGACGGGGGGGGGAAAGGGCTGAAGCTCGAGGATGCGACCAGACACACACACACGACCATCATATCTCGATTCTGGATCCTGACTGCCGAACCGCAAAGATGGATATGCATACATGTAAATACACGCATGTATATCTACTTCCTTGCCCCCCGACACAAAGGCGAGCTGTCCAGGAGAAAAGAGAGGCTGCGTCGTCGCCCCCCTCGGTCCAAAAAACCAAGCCAAGATAGCAAATACCAAATCCCACGTCGCACAAGACCAGAACGCAGAGCTCTCGCAGCCCAAGGCCCCATCCATCGCCGTCTTCCAGCATGACCGCCGCCTCCCGAAACCCCCCTCCCGTTGAGGGAGCAAGGCCTCCCCTCGCCGAGGGCAGCAGCAGCCACGACGACACGGCCGCTCGGGAGCAAAACACGACCCAAGACGCGCCCGGATGCTCCATCTGCGGCGAGCCCTGGACGCGAGCGCCCTCCCCGCCGCGCCGGCTGCCCTGCGGGCACGAGTTTCACGGCGCCTGCATCGACCCCTGGCTGCTGGGACACTCGCGGACCTGTCCCCTCTGGTAATGAGCCACGCCGCCACGCATGAATACACGCGCGCGCGCGCACCGAGATGAAGAGGCCCCAAGCTAACGGCGTCGTGGGGGACGAACTTGCAACGACGCAGCCGCGGCAGAGTGGCACCGCTTTCCTGCTGCCCGTCGGCGCTTCCCGCGCCGTCGCCATCGCCGTCCGTCGTCGTTGCGCCCTCGCGGTGGAATGTGCTCCGACGAGGAGTGAGACTGGTTGAGTTTCCGTTCTTGTTCTTGTTCTTGTTCTTGTTCTTGTTCTTGTTCTTGTTCTTGTTCTTGTTCTTGTTGTTGTTTTTGTCGTGCGAACCTAACGACTTGCGATAGGGGCCGCGGGATGTCCTGGCCTTGACGAGCATCCCCAGCATTCGGTCTCAGGGGTCCGGGGCGACGTGGGCCGAGAGGATCACCGTGCTGCCGCTGCCGCTGCCGCTGCCGCTGCCGCTTCGGTCGCTCAACGAGACGGCAGATGTAGACGCGGCTCCTCGGCCTGGCGCGCCTTAGGACGGACGCCGGTCTAGTTGGGCGTTCGCAGTCGCGCGAGGGAGGGAGGTGACGAGTCGATGGCGGAGCGAGAGCAGGACTGTCAATGGTCTCTTTGGGCCAAGAGGGAACAGGAAGAGCCTAAAAGTAATCATCAAACAAGGATAGTGTCTCTGGTTCATACAGCCCCCCGCGGTTCAACTACATACCTAGGTAGTGAGTGCTCTGTATCTAGGCAGACAAAAGAACCACGGAGCAAAGAGTCAGGCCACCACCTCTCCCCAGTGAAACAAGGCAAAAATAAGCCCGGACCGGTAGACAGACCAAAGGCTGGTGGTATCGCTCCTCAAAGACCAGGATACAATACAGTATGCAGCATATCCGCCGCAGGGGGCTCCTATATACATTCCAATATATGTGCATCAACGCCATCATCATACCAACATAACTCATATCCATATACAGCCAAGGAAATCATTAGGTCCATACCGCCATGCAAAGCCCATGACGCTGCCGCACGCCCAAGTTGTCGACCCAACTCCAGATGCCATACAAAATCGCAAAAGTGCACCTCAACAACACATCACCACGACCTCATCCAAGACCGTTGCCTCCATTTCAAAAACCACAGGAGCATAAACTGATTCTCATCAACCAGGCTTCGTCAAGTCGCGCTGCCAACCCACTATCTCCTCAACCCCCTCCACGGCGCTCCATTCTCCCTATCCTCCCCATACGTAAACTTGGCCGGAATATCAGGCACTCTCGGAATGCCCCTATTCGCATCCGGCACGACCTTCAGCCCCCCATTGCCGTCCCTCATCCCCGCAGACCTCAAATTCCTAGCACTAGTAGGCCGTCGGATCCTGCGAGTCACGCTCCCGTGAATCTCACTCGAGTTGCGCCCCCTGGGAAGCATATCCATTGACGCTCGCGCAGCAGGCACTTCGCCATGCTGCTGCTGCTGCTGCTGCTGCTGAGCCCACGACATCTTCTTGCTAAGCTTATGCAGCTCACGCTCCTTGCCGTCCTCCTCCTGCGCACCCACAGAGACGTTCCTCCGGGCCAAAGCCACCGCCGCGCGCATGCTCTTCCTCGACGCAACGCTCCTCAACTTGGGGAGCGAAATGTCCCGCGAAGCAGATATACGCAGCCGCTTCGGGAGAAAGCGATGCGCCAGCGTAGATTCATCCTCGCCGTCGTCGCGCTCCTCTTCCCTGCCCCCTTGCTCCCCGTCCCCGTCCCCGTCGACGCTGGGCTCAGGCGACTCGGCCGCGCGTTTCGTTCCCCGGGACGAGGCCACGCTGACGGGGGAACAGACAGTTTGCGGCGTGGGTTCGTGCGCACCGGGCAGGGATTGCGGCGTGAGCGGTCTGGGGGCAAGCGGCCACTGCGGCGCAAAGCCGGCATTCCTGGAAGGCACCCCGTGGGATGTAGACGGCCGGTAGTTGGGCGGCGGACCGTGGCGGGTGGACTGTATGGCGTGCGAGGAGAAGAACCCCGAGGCAACGAGCTGCTGGTAGCTGGCAAAGACCTCGTCCCGAGAGGGCCTGTCGTCTTGTGCGTCGCTGCTCGCGGGGTCCTTCTTCTCTCTGACCTTTTCCTTGTCGTCTGCGTCCCTACGTAGTCGGAGCCTGCCGCGGACCCCCTCCCACACCTGGCCAAAAATGTTCATCTTCGTGGTAGGCTTGCGCGCCGTCGGCCGCGGTTGGGGCTGCGCCTGCGCCTGCGCCTGCGGCATCTGCTGAGCCGGCTGCCTCTCCTCGCGTCTCCCAAAGTAAGCCGGGTCAAAGGCAGCATATGCAGATTGTTCCGCGTAAACAGGCCGCTCGAGCACCTCTCTGTCCTGCGGACCAAGAAAGTGCACTGGCGGCACGGCCGACACGCGGTCGTTCATTGAGCCTTCTTGGAACCTGCCCCTCTGGGCAAGAAAATGCTGGGCTCTCGTTCTGGGAGGGCCCATGGTGAAGAAGTCTTCTTCCTGGTGGTAAGTAAAGAGGGTCCTCCAATTGCTTTGAATGAGTGCGCGCCGGTTTTGCGAGTAAATAAATGGTCGATCAAATTGGCTTTTGTTCGTTACCGACTTCGTATGGTATCTGCTACCTTTCAACTTTACGGTACGGGCAATCTCAACGAAAAGGGCCAACGCGGGAAAGGAGAAAATAGTTGAGATACAAGCAAGACGTCCGTGTATGTATGTCTGCGGTGACATCCCCATCTGTGTTTGGCCGTTTGTTGACTTACACTCATTGTTCCGTGCCTGGAACCCCTGTACCCTACACGTGATCTCGCCATGGCAACCAAGTGCCCCACTCCTTCTTTCTCGTGCTCTCTCCAGCCAAAAGACCGACCCCACAGTCATGCCGGCCGACTTCTGGTCTCTATCGTCAAATTTGCAGCGCTCCAAGGTTGAAAAGATAAAGCGGCCGTTCTACATGGCTGGGTCCCACTGACGGTTTCATCGACTGTCAGCGGCCCTTGCTCATCTCCTATAATCGATATGTGACAACTCTAATTCATTGTGCTGCCACATCACAGTCACATACTAATAATTCATCAAGCCCCCTGTATGTCATTTTTCGCTTCCGTTGTCACACCTACACAGCTTATCTTGGTTGAATTGTTGATTTAATTGCAACTACCTATCCTGCCTTCCAAGAGCCGGCTTTTTAATCAGCCCTCACAAACTTTGGGCATTAGCGTGCCAGCCCAGGCGAAATGAAGAAAAAATGATAATAATAAACAACCAGCTTGTTTTGTCCGTCAAACTCAGTGCACGCTTCATTCAAACGTATGTGTCGCGTTGCCGCGCACGGCAGCGAAATAATAATAATAATAATAAAATCGAAGGTCCTGTTTCCAACGTAAAAAGCCGTGCATGGCAGAGGGCCCAAGCTTCCCAAAATTTTCCAAACAAATACAATGGTTGCAAAACATCAATCACATGACACGCCATGAATTGGACGCACGTCGTGACAGGTAGTTCCGTTTCTCAATCCAATCCGAAACAAATAACAATCGATAGAAAATGATGTTGCGGGGAGTGGTGAGCCCGGTTGTCGACTTTTGCGCCATTGTTGGGTCCGAGGAGCCAAGGAAACAAAAGCCTTAACAGTCGTAGCATCTGGGCAGCTCAGTATAGTATCTCCCATCTCCCGTTCCCGAAGTTGCTATCTCTATGAAGCGTAAAAGTCGACACATAAGTTGATAATAAAAGCACACTGTAAATCAATAGGAAAGGCCGAGATACGGGGATTGTTGCCGGTGTCCCAAGCATCGTATGGCATTAGCCGAGAGAGAAAAAAAAGAACAAAGATTCGAATGTAGAAAAGAGAAAATGGTATTTGCTCCCGACGCCGACTCCTTCCATGTCTCGATATAATTCTCTCCACACTGTCCACTGGCAACGTCAGTGAGACAAAACGTACATGAGCAAAATTCAACACCAACAAGAACGCCAAAGGGTATAGGCAAAGTAGCAGAGCGAGGTTCGGGTCTGGACCCGAACGATTTCACAGAGGCCGTCAACTCCCCGTCAAACTAGCCCCTATTGGTACCGGTTGAACTGAATCACGTCAACCTTGCCATCGGCCCTCGAATACCTGCCTTCAAGAGTCTCAGGGCTGAGACCCTTGAAACGGCCATACTGTGTATCCTGTTGGCGCTGTCCGTTTTGCAAACCGTGCATAAAGACGTCTTGATGTTTTCGTTTGCCCCCTGTAGGAATAATAGGAGACACAGGCACAGGCTCTGTCTGGGCCTCGATAGGGGGTAGAGGTGAAGGGGACACCAGCGCAGCAATCTTGAGCGGTGCCAGGGACGTTTGCGACGTCCGGCGCGGTGGTTGTGGCAGTAATGGCGTAGGCGGGTATGATTGATGCGAGTCCCGCCTCGAGGTCTCCGAATATCTCGATGGGGAGGGTGACACATAATTTCCCGGTGCCCTGTCATAGGAAAGCTCATGCTTGACTGACGGAACAGGAGATGGACAGGTCGAGCTCGGATTGCGTGTATGAGTAGGGTATCCGTAATTGCTCTGTTCCGGCTTCACATAATTCGTCGCCTGACCAGGCGAAGAATATGGTGCGGCAACCGGCAGTTGAACGTGTCCATTCAGAGGGGGAGGCGCCGGATAATGTCGCGGGGTGGCGTATTGGGCAGTAGGATGCTCTCCAAACGACAAATGACAACTACGGCTCGGCGGAGGACCAGAATCATAACCCGGAGGTGGTGGAGGAGCATGATAGGCGTCAACGGCAGAAGGTCGTCGATGCGGCTCAGGTGCGTAGGGGACCCGATGCTCGCTTGAGTTGCTCAAGGATCGGTTTCGGATGCCATGAGGGTCTTCGGGAGCGGGTGTAACGGTTCTGCGGCGAAAGTCCTCCTCTCGTCGCTCGAATGCACTCGACTTCCCATCGCGCTTCCTCATTCGCACATCACGTCGAATTCGAACTCGGCATCCCTGATCCGCAACCGTCTTGCTAAGCTGGGTACTCTCCATCAAGCCAGGGAACTTCTTGGCACTAAAGACGTTGAATGGATTCGTCTTGATTTCCATCCGCCAGTCGACACCGGGCGGCAGGTCGGAATTGGCAGGCTCCATATCAAAGTCTTTTTCCTCCTTGGTAGTCTCGAATAAGCTGAACGAAAGACAAAAGTACCCTTCATGTCGAACGGATAAATCGGGAAAGATGAAGTAACCAGCTTCGGTAGGGCGGTCCAGGTAGGCCATGCCAGAGGCGGGAACGCCGGTCAGAATGGGAGGATTCGTAGCGGCAGCGCTCTGAACTCGGCCGTGGGCCATGGTGCGTGCCTGTTCGAGGCTGGCATATAAGAAAAAGTTGGCATTGTAATCGAAGGTGATATCCTTGCCCTCACCAACCGAAGGGCCTTCGATGATGCGTAGTTCCACAACTGGGTGAGGATCAACTGGCCGTCTGTCGCTATTGGCTATCGAAGATGTCAGCATGGGATAACTAGAGGTCAATGGCAGCTACATGCACGATGGCATCGTTTGCAGACAGATTCCCAGGAGCCGGTCCCATCAAACAAGAAGAATAGCCACATTTCGATATCCGACTGTAAACGACGACAATTAATGGAATGATTTTAGGAATTCGCCCTGACCTTTCATGCCCGAGCCACATGCTCTGGCTCGCTCTGGCTGCTGGAGGACGGTCAACTGATACCAGAGAGTACGATTCTCTCTCGTGACTCGGCGAATGCATTGCACCGAGTCCCGCGACGGATGGGTGGGGATCTGTACAGATGAGGCGGCCATTTTGTCGTAGCAGTCTCAAGGTTGAACAAGTTGAGAAAGCAATCAAATAGGATAAGCTTGAGGAATGTCAGTAAACAATGCATCACGTTGTAGCTCGTTGAGAATACGAGATAAAGTCTGTACACCTGATGGCAACAAGTTGTCCCTCGATGTGATCTGTCACGGCAACGGCTCTGCTTGACCTGTGCCCTTTGACAGAAAAGCGTCGATATCAGGTGTGTACATGCGAGTAGGCAGAGATTATGAAGTGCCAAAGAAACAAAGGTGATTACTCACTGGCACGGCTTGTGTCGGTGAGGCAGTCAGCTAATGAACCGACAAGCCTTGGACGATACGCCGGCGAGCGTTGGGGAGAAGTGAGCTGCCAAAGAGTGTTGAGACGAAGTGTTCCAACATCCAGCGGCTCGGTGCAACCAGGGGTTGTAATATGCAAGCCGTCGACTTTTTTTATCCAGGTGAAGAGACAATGACGTGAGGGAAGGGATTCAACTCCTCAAGTCAGTGGGGAGGAAATCGCTCGTGGAATTGTCGTGGTATTGTCGTGATGGTTGAAGAGGAGAAAGGCGACGAGGAGTGGACGGATGCAGAAATGCACAGCCAAAAGCTCGAGCCAAAGGCAGGAAGTCAGCCAAACAAGAGGCAAAAGCACAGAGGCAGGAGGGTGCATCAAGTTGAAGAGAGGAACGAGGAACGGAGGCGCGCAAAGCAGCGAATCAGAGTCGAGCGTGGAGAGCGAATGAACGGGATGGTGGGTGTGGTGCTGGACCCAGGACCAAGGACCAAGAACCAAGAACCAAGAACCAAAAAGCCAGGAGGACCCGAGGACCCAAGGGCCAAGGACGGACTGGTGGGCTGGCAGGGACCCAAGGAACATGAACCAGGTTCCGAGAACAGGGAAGAGGAGGGGAGGAGAATGGGGGAAATGGGGAGGCATGGAGGGGATGGAGGATGGGGGAGAGTTGAGGAGGGCGACGAGAGTGAGGACTGGAGCCACAGACGAGCCAGAGACGACGCCAGAGAAGCCAGAGCAAGTGCCAGCGGGCCAACGGCAGGCAAACGAGAGCAATCGAGAGCCAGGCAGGTACGGAGCATGGGAGTATTGTACACGGAGATGCAAAATGCACAAAATGCACACCACGGGAGATGGAATACTCCATTAGAACTAGCCGGCGCCACCGGTGCGCAACCTCAGTCAAAAGTCAAGTCGATGCCAGGAGCCAGCCAAGATTCAAGAGTCAAGAGTCAAGAAGAGCTGGGAGCTAGAGGGCAGAGGCCAGGGCCACCAGGCCCCAGCCAGACGTCAACCGGTTCGCTAGTCCGAACCAGGAAAAAATGGCCTGGTCTTGTCTGAGGCGACGATCGATGGACAGCGCCGTTCTCTGGCAGCCGTCAATTGATTAATGGCGTTTGCCGCATGGCACGCCCCAGGCATGGCGTGGGGTTTGTGATTTGTCCAAGCCGTCTCGGCCGTCAACCAGAAAACTCTGAAGAAAACGAGGGCCACCGGGCTAGACCGAAGGCAGGATAGCCTCTCACTTGGGGTGGCGGAGAGGAGGAGGCTGGCTCTGTGGGCAGCAGCCGTCAAATTGACGGCATCAGTCGGTCGGTCTGCCTTCCAAATGCCAGTAAGTCATGCCGACTGGGTTGAATGTTCCAGGCTCCCAGTGGCCTGGGTGTCCAAATTCTGGGTCCCAATGTCCATTGTTCAGCGCCCAGAGCACCTGAGCCAATGCCCGGGGACCCCCAGAGCCACCAGAACATCTGCACCAGACATGGCGCCGGAGCCCCGAGAGACTGGATAGCGGGACACACATGCACCAGACGGTTGCAGCTGCGTCGGGGGCGGGCGAGCGCCAGACATGCCTCCGCCTGCAGAGTGCAGACAGAGTGAAGGTTGCAGAGCAGAGCAGTGCAGTGCAGTGCAGTGCAGTGCAGCGCAGGCGCAGCGACCTTGGCTTGGACCGTTAGGGGCATGCGTGGTGCTACGGCGTTGCAGCGTTGCAGCGCCGTACAGGCGGGTGCAGCCCGGTGCAGGTCGTCGGAGGCAGCGGCCCAGGCGATGCGCTAGGCATTCGCTGAACTACTACCTAGGTACCTAAGTACTTAAGTAAGTAGTAGTTAGTACTAGCCTCTGATGGGTGCTACCAGACACCAGTTGGCCCGTCAATCGACACTGCCCGCCCAACCCCAGCCGTCGGGGCAGAGCCAATCAGGTTAGACTGTGACCAGATGGCGGGTCGGGTCTGAGAATGCGGAAGATTGCATGGCAACATTGACGAGAGCACATGGCAGCGGGTTATTTCGGCAGCACAGGTGTCAACTGGTGTGTATGTACAATAGTCTTGACAGATGGGGTGCCGAGAACAATGCCGGCTCGGCTGCTGTCACGCTGGCGTGGCATTCGTGGGCAGGTGGCACATGGCAAGATGCAGTTCATTGATCACGGATCGAGACGATGGGCGGCTTGACGGCTCCCCATGCCAACACTTCTACATAGGTACTCATCAATGCTTGTCACAGGAATCGAGGGAAGTGACCAGTGAGCAGAGTGCCTATGTCCCACAATCCACGCCCTTTCCCCCAAGGCTGCGATTTGAAAGGCTTGAGCCTTGAGGCTTGCGGCTTGAGGAGCGAAAGGGGGGCTCGATTCTTGAGGGTGTGCCGTCTCGCCAGTGTGGTGTGCTCGGCACAGCATCTGGTTGGTGTGCGCAGTCAATCAATATGGATCAATGCATCCGTCAATGGCATTTGATGATACCCGTAATAAACTACCTATGTACAGTTTCTCACTGCAGGAGGCCAACAAGATCAAGCTGATCAAGTTGACCCAGGTGGCCGGTGCAGCGCTCTGGTGCATCATACTTACATGTGCCATATATCGTATCGCAAGTACTTAAGTACTTAGTAGGGGACATGTACGGGGTACAGAACCCACATCGCATTGACAGCGTCCATTGACAGCGGGAGCCGTCTTGCTTGGTAGCACCTCATGTATGTACAATGTACCGAGTACGGAGTAGCATACCAGGCCTCTCCCTATGTCGCCAGGTACCAGACCTCGAGGTGCTTGGCACTCAGACGACATCTGGACTTCTCTGCTCCGCAACTCCGTCCGCTGGCTACTACCTAATCGTGCGCAGCGTCCAGGCGGCCGACATGACATCGACTGACCCAAACCTGGCCAGGATTCCAGTTCCCAGCTCTGGGGCACCGGAAGTCTGGGGCTGGGTCGATATCGTCAGGGTTCAACACCAATGTCGGCGTCAAGATCGAGCCATTTGCTCTGGTTTGGTCGCCGACTTCCACTACTCGATGCAACTCGCCTCCTCTCTTCGCACCGAGAATCTGCCAGGGTCGTGAAGCATGCATCGTAATGTACCGAGTTCGTTACGGAGCATCGAGTACTGAGCATGGAAAGCCAAGAGCCAAAATTCATACCACTCTGTGGTCCATCCTCTCCAAGCCGTTGGTTTTAGCCTTGCCATACCGAGTGGTGGTACGGAGTACTAGTATTTGATTCTAAACTTGTCCAAGCGTCCACTGCATCATGTTGTACTCCGTACAGAGAAACGATACTGTGCGTGATAGCCAACAGCTTTATTTGTACATATGCAACAGACCTCAAATGCACGAGGCCTGCAATTACACGTCCATGACCTTGCCCATGTCCATGTAGAGCATGGGTGCACAACAGTGAAACCGCCTGTGGCCAAGCCGCTGGATCCCAAGACGTCTTCTGGCCCGAGGCTCAAATGACGGCGTCAAGGCTCGGCCAGCATCTTTTCCTCTGTACTCCGTACCCTCACTTTATTGCAACTTACTACTTTATGCAATGTGTGTTTGCGTGCACTTTTTCTTGACGCTTGCCCAGCCTTGTGTTTGTACTACTTGTGCGTCTGCACCTTCTAAAATTGTCCTCTCCACGTATGCTCATACTCCTCCAATGATAGCTCGAGTATGACTACATGTTGTGTTTGTGCTTGTGCTGCTGCTTGTGCTTGTGCTTGTGCATGCGTGTGCGTGTGCGTGTGCGTGTGTGCCGTTGCGTCTTTCCTTTTCGTCCAAAGTCCGGAGTATCATCGTCTGATCCTCGCTCGTGCAACCCTTTGTATTGTATTTATGCTGAGGTTGATTCTGCAATGCCCATCATAATCACTCGGCCTGTCAGTGTCCAACAAGAGTGTGAAAATGCCAAGACATGCCATTTCAACAAAAGCGAAGATAGCATGCCACGAGGTGACCTGCAACAATGGATTGGGGTTCTTTTCTCCATCCCGGCAGCTAGAACGCCTCTAGGGTTCTAGGGAGTAACAATTGTGGCTGGCGACTTGATTGCTCATGTCGGTGCGCATCGACACAGGTGCCTTGTACAATACTACTCCGTACCCAATAATGGCAACATTGCGGTCGGCTTCTATAGCGAAATGCCCAAGCCAGAGTCCATTGCAAGAGCTTCCGGGGTTTTGATACAGTCCGTACAAGCAGCAGGGCCGCGTTCAGTTAATCTTGAGCCAAGTACTAGGGCTTTCCATCTTCGGCGTTCACCCGCTTGACGGCGTTGACTAGCAAGGCAGAGAACCGGGGCCTTGGAAACAGGGCATGAAGGGCCATGTTGGCCATGTCCTGGCCAAGCCACAGATGAAGCAGCAAATCTGGTGGTGGAGACCAGCAAGACCAGGCAGCAAGAATCCATTTGATCCAAGGCAGACTGGCGCTGATCCAGTCCTCCGGGGCGGCGGCAATTAAGTGCCACATCGGCGTTTGCCCGCACTAAAAGCCGGCCTTGGGTCGGGTTGTCCGTCGCAGAACAAGAACCGCCAGAACTCTAACTTTAGTACTCCGTCCTCCGTCCTCCGTATTGTACTCTGTACGGCGGACAATAAAAGCTTAAAGGACCCAACGGTAAGCGCCACACACCCAGTCTTCGGATGGGCAGTTTCAGACGACGGCCAACGCGCCGTAAAGGTTGGCCTATTCTGTACCAGAGTCAGGCGAGCGCAAGCTCAGCTCCCCTCAACAATGTTCCCAGTGAAGCACGATCCCGGCCCCAATTAAATCGGACGTCGAGGGCATCGCCAGCGGGCTTCTTTCTCTCTTAGGCACCAGCCAGGGACAGGGAATTTTCAATGTTACAGACTCTTCTTGCCCTGGGGAAGGGCAGGTCGCAAAACGAGATGTGATGAGTCTAACCACAGGCCAGGGCCGAACCGAACATCGAATGTCACCAGGCGACTCTGTCCCAGTCAAGCCCCTGCGTACCGAGCGCCTCAGCCCAACTTTAGAAAATAAAGTGGAGGGCCATGGCCGAGCACGTCCCATCACGATTCTCCCGTCCCCGGCCATACCCAATCCTGAACTGTTGTCATCTGCACCCAATTGCTAGCGTGCCCGCTAATGTGAGATACATGTGACTAGTGATCCAGATGACAGGGAGGCGAAACATGGTCCCAAGAGGGAGAGTCGCTTGTGGTACGGAGTACCAGCTGGACAAATGTTTGCCCCTTGATCCCCTTCAGGTCCGTCAGAACGGCTGTGGGAAGGCGCGGGAACATGTTGATGAAAATGCGGCCCGCTTTGTTAATACTGGTACATGCATACTTTCATTGACCATGAAACGAACGGGTGACTCTGTTGCTCAGAAGCACATGTTCTGTGGAGCTGGCAAGCTGGCATCGAGTCAGCACGGACGAGAGGGAGTCGATTCCTCTGTTTGCTCGCCATGTGGCCCTTCCTGGGATTCTCACAAGCCTTCATGCGGATGTGACAAAGTCATCGTGGGGAAGTATTTTGAGCCGCAGCTTATGAATAACTCATCCCAGACTATTTCCAGCGCCATGTACGAGACGGAACACGAAAATGGACGGTTGTTCTGGCCATAGCCATGTACATGCTCCGTCCAAAATGCGCATCTTTCGGCGTCGCATACCATTCTTCGGGAAAATAGCGCTAATTGAGGGGTGGGCTTGAGGAAGTCATCATCGAGACAGGATCTCTGAATAATATGGCCTTAGTGGAAAGCCATTAGCAAATGCTGGATATTTGCTTACAGCACAGGCAACCGTTCAACCTGACCTGATGCCGCCCTCTTCGTCGTGTTGTCCAAAGAACCACTACAGCAAACCCGAATCGTCAGTTACTAAACTGGTCTTCGTATGTATGTATGTTG